GTAGGGGTTTCTTTTTAATTTTTAATTTATAATTAGTTTTTGAAGTCGCTTTTTTAAACGTTTTTTTTTAATTTTTTACTTTTTAGTGTCTGTAATAAGCTGTTCTGTAAACTACAGAAGGTAATAATGTAACGATAATATTTCTCAGTTTCTCTACTCCGCACGCTCGCTCCGCTTCAATGACAGGTAGCCTAATGTCCACTTATATAGACACGGGTTAATAATAAGAGTTTTTGGCCAAAAAAACATTAAAAAAAAACAAACAAAAAATTTGAATAAATAAAAAAAAAAACAAAAGTAAAACCTTTGTATCCGACCGAGATACGAACCCAGATGCCTGGGATTGTCAGACTTGCGCCTTGGCCGTTTGACCACGATACTTATATCCTAGCGTGCGAATTAGCGACCATATTTTGCGTGGAATAATGTGAAACAAAACCGCATGAAAACTCGAAAACACGCGTTTTCCCAGACATAAAACTATACATAATCTAGATCGATTTATCGCCCCAGAAACCCCTTGTATACTAAATTTCATGAAAATCGTTGGAACCGATTCGGAGATTCAGATTATATATATACATACATACATATACAAGAATTGCTCGTTTAAATATACTAGATATATAATCAACCTAAATGAAAACTCCTAAAAAAGCCGTACACAAACTAAAATAAAATTACAATGTCCACGTAAACAAAAATGTTCATAAAATGATTAATGAAAACTACTGGGCCAAACTATGTTAATTTTTTATAGGACAAAATGGCAACTATTCCGCATCAAACTAAAGTCACGTAAATCGTGTACATACATTAAAAAAACATACTAATCGAATTGAGAACCTCCTCCTTTTTGAAGTTGGTTAAGAAAAATAAATTGCAATGACACGACGAGAATAAACGCGCAGAATTAAGTGCTTTACTTTTTCTCCGAGAGTGAGGAACACCCATTACATCAATTTGGGATACTTTTAGATTTTTTATAGAAAAACCCAGAAACTGCTTAGGACTCCGGAAGCGAACCTAGGACCTAATGATATTCATTCTACAGCGTACAAGCTAGTTGATAAATTCAGTGGTTACATCATTAAGTGTTTCTTTACAGTATATGCCCTTGACCAATCCACTTATTGATAATACATCTCAAGACGATCGATAAGAGATTACAAATGTTTCCAAATACTCGTAAACTTTTACGAAAATCATTTGCTTACTGAACATTTACCGAAAATGCAAACTTTTATCTAGCCAATGAGTCGATGGATTTAAAGGTGACGTTTTGTTTGCAATAAAAGCAATCTACAGTTTATAAAATAAATTGATACCATTTAGCTAGGGGCTAGGGATAGGGGTCATTATGGCGGCTAGGGGTTATTATAGGTAAATATTGTCTGTCATACTATTATAATGAAAGACTCGAAATAATTTTAATATTATTTCCTCATCTATATTATTATAATAAAGTTTGTGAATTGTGAGTTTGTGATGTTGTAGGGGGTAATCTCTGGATCTACTGAACCGATTTAGATGAAATTTGGTAAGAAAATAGTTTGAGACCCGGGAAAGTACATAGGATACTTTTTATCCCGGAAATCATCCCTTAAGGGGGTGAAAATGGGAATGAAAGTTTGTATGGGGATATAGTTATGTTAATCATATTAACGTAACTATTCATGTTAATCTATTTATACTATTCTATTCTATTTTATTCTATTTATATTTTGCTAATATCAAAAAAACCTTGCTACCCCCAATTCGAACTTTAAAATATACGTTCATATTTTTTTATTTCAGGCATCATCTCCTCATCCTAAATTTGACAACGTTTTTGAAGCCTACGACGATTCAGCCGTATGTCCACAAAAGGAAGAATTCACTGGAACTATTATAGGAACATTGGATTGCTTAAATTTGAACGTGTTTGTTCCAAATACGGCGAGCTCAAAGAATAAACTGCCCGTTTTGGTCTGGATTCATGGAGGTAGATTTAGGTATGGGTCTGGAAATAGATATTTGTATGGTCCCAATTTTTTAATTAGACATGACGTCATACTCGTCACCTTAAACTACAGATTGGGACCTTATGGTTTTATGTGTCTCAACACACCAGATGTGCCTGGAAACCAAGGTTTGAAAGATCAGTTTCTGGGTCTGCGCTGGATCAAGGATAATATTGCAGCGTTTGGAGGAGATGCTAACAAGATAACTATTGTGGGTGAAAGCGCAGGCGCCATGTCCATAGATTTCCATTTAATTTCGAAACAGGAAAAACTATTCAATCAGGCTATAATACAAAGCGGTAGCGTTTTCCACCCTACGGTTCTTGAAGATGCGGATACTTCTAAGCCTTTGAAAATCGCTGAACGCTTAGGCTTCCAGACTGATGATTTATCTCAGGCATTAGCTTTCTTAAAAAATACTGACGCGATGTTAGTTATCGCAGCCTTTGAGGAGTTGGGTTTAATTTTTAACATTTGCGTTGAGAAAGAGTTCGAAGACATTGAAAGCATACTGCCAGACCATCCAATTAACATGGATTATCCTAAAGCTAAACGCATACCTATCTTATCTGGTTTTAACAGTCACGAACAATTAAATCTATATGCAAATAAAAATGCCGATTACTTCAAGAACCTAAAGATATTTAGCGAATTAGACGCGGTATTTAACTACGACGAAGACTTCCAAAAAATGGAAGATTTGATGCGTCATTTCTACATTGGAGACGAAGATATAACCGACGCTGTACGTTGGAGTATAATAGATTTCAGCTCAGATTACGAATTCAACTTTCCCGGACAGAGGAGCATACAAAAGTACCTTGAAAATGGAGCTCAAGATGTGTATCAGTACTTATTTGCATACAGCGGGAAGAGAAATTATCTTAAGAACAGGGATAATGTGACAGCAGAAGGTGTGGCGGCTCATGGTGATGAACTTGGTTATTTGTTTGATATATCTTTTTACAAAGAGCAGCCATCTGAAGCTGATCAACGAATCATTGATCAAATAACCACGCTTTGGACAAACTTCGTTAAGTATGGGTGAGTAGCAAAAACCTTATATTTGCTTCTATTATCTATACATTACTTGTTATGAGAAATTGCGTGCAAAATAACTTTTGTCGTTTTAAAACAACAATTTTTTATAATGCAATCGGACAGCAACCCTCAAAAATGAAATAAAAATATTTCTCATAACTTAATGTTATTACTTTCTCTGTGTTACAAATTGGCAAAAGCATTAGATTTTATATAACTTTTATCATAAAGAGCTTTGAAAAAGATAACACTATTTTTCAGAGAGCCTACACCTGAAGTATCAGACTTGCTGCCCATACAGTGGATCCCTACCACCAAGGACACAAACAATTACCTCGTCATAGATACTGAGCTGAAAATGGAAAAACGACCGTACAGTCAAAGACTGGCATTTTGGGAGTTATTCTATAAAGCCAACGAGAACAAGTTAAAAGAAAAACGTAACGACTGAAGAAGAAGTAGCCACTAAAAATCAAACTAATAAACAAAAATAAACACTTTGTGTGTAATGTTGCATAAGAAACAGATAACAATGTATCATTTTTGATTCAATTTTGCAATATAAGAGTGCATCTAAATGTAAACTTTTCAGTTTATAGTGATAAATTATAGGGTTCCGTATTCGAAGGGTGCCAACGAGACGATATTACTAGTCTTAGGTCCGTCTGTCTGTCAGCGGGCTGTATCTCATAAACCGTAATAGGTAAGGAGTTGAAATTTTCACAGTGTGTACTTTTATTGTCGCCACAATAACAAATAATAAAAAACCAAGATGGCGATATATATATATATATATATATATATATATATATATATATATATATATATATATATATATATATATATATATATATAGTGTTATACACATCTTGTACGATGGTACGGAACCCTTCGTGAGCGAGTCCGTCTCTCACTTGACCGGTTTTTATTTATTTAAATTTATTGTATGCAACTTTAAATATTTGTTTAATAGACACTATCGTACTACTAGTATCCCGCAGCTTCGTTCGCATAGTATATCTATATTGAAATAAATTAAATAGGTATTTACGTACGTATGTTACTCCGATTTATAAGCTATATTACTGGAAAATTTCATCAAAATTGGTAAAGTAGTTCTTGCGTAAAAGAGTAATAAGCATACATCCTCACAAACTTTGACTTTTATATAATAGTACCTGGACGACTGAGCTTCGCTCAGCATTAGTTGTACAAAATGTTTGTTTTTTTTTGTAAAACAAATCAGAAAAGTCGCCTACATATGTAGATAAACTTAAAAAGCTAAACCTTATCTAAGTACAAAATTTGATCCAAATCGTTAGAGTCGCTTTCGAGAATGTGATTATACATATACTAGCGACCCTCGCTTCGTTTACAACAATGGTCTCCATGGCAACGTAGCAATGTATTCTATCTCATTCTCTCGCCGGCTTAATCCTATATATTTATGGTACAACGTACAACTACAATGTATACAACTCGTTAAAATAGACGAAATTCATGTAAAAAAGTCATAAATAATACTTAGGTACTTGAAGTAATTAATAGGTACTTACTGCTCACCAGAAATATTGAAGCTGTGCAAAAGAAATAATAAAACAAACTTATCTTCCCTTACTTTATTTAAAATGTTAACATACAACATTAATCTCTTTTTCTAATGAGTGATATTCCAATTTTCGGACGGTTATTTTAAATAATCACGTGGGACGTGATTATTTAAATATTGATAGTCTGTAAATTTTGATATACCTAGCTGTCACACGTTTAAGCTATTGATATTACTAGACTCAAAAAAAATTGGAATTGATTTTTATAGAAATATCACATGTACATATATCAAATATTTTGGAACAAAACAAATAAATTTTTATTTCGGAAATGAAAAATCCATAAAAAGTCACAAGTTGATTATAAAAGCAAACGAAAAAAAAACTATTATAACACGCAAATTCAGACACACGTATCATCTGCCCTTCTTCTCGTAGAAGGCAAAGGTTCTTTAAACCTTTGCATCGATCTCCAACTAGCTTTTGCTGAAGAACTGATAGTATCCATATATTCTGTTCTTCCTGGGAATTCTGTAAACCAGGTCTGGATGGACTTAGGGCTAACTCCGGTATGAACTGGACCTGGAGGGTTAATTGTGGGGCGAACTATTGGAGGGTTATCCGAGAAGTGAGTTGGATCTTTATAACAACGTAGAAGACCAAGTTTGTGACTCTCCATCGGAATAGGCGCGTTGGATTGTGCAGCCGCCATTATTGTTCGGTAATCAGATACTGGGAATGCTGATGAAAGAAACAACAATTAATATACTCCTAGTAATCTACACTAACTACCTACACTTATATAAATAAAATTGAAGTGTCTGTTTGTAATGTCAAAATAACAGCTTTTTACTAAATGTATATACATAAAAGTACATATATACGGTACTCATAAAAACATATTTTTTACTTTTTGTTTGTCTGTCTGTTTATTCCAGCTAATCTCCGAAATGGCTGGACCGATTTTGACGGGACAATCACTGGCAGATATCTGATATCGCAAAAAAATTAAAACCCAATAAATTGTGAACGGACGCACCCAAGCGAAGCGAGAGTAAGGCACTAGTCTACACTAATATTATAAAGAGAAAATTATTTGACTAATAGGAAGCTAGGTACATTATCTGTTTTCTAATCCGATAAAAATATGTTTACTGTTAGAAATTATAATAGCTCTAGAAAAAAATACTGGCCGTTGAGTAACTTTATCGGCGTGCCTAAATGGCGTTTGAAATAAAGCAATAAAATGTATGGCAAAAAATCCCCAGTAGTTGTAGTTTCTTAAATTTATGAATGTTCCTACTTGCTGTAAATTGGTTTGCATTTTCTGCCCCGCGGAAGAGCTAAGATATTCGTAACTCTCGACTGACTTGACCCAAGAGAAACGTGACTTAAGTGTCTGATTGACATTATTAGATTTGCTAAGTAGAAATGAATCCATCACTACGAAAGAATATATGCCTACTGATCAATAATCGATAGCTGCAGGCAATATTATTGAGCCTTATCAAATTTTTAAATATGAATTAAATACTTTTCAATAATATTTCAAGAAATTCCAATACGTTTATTACTATTCTAAAAACGTGTATATAGTACGTTTTTATTTCTAAAATTTAATTATCTTTTTTTCTTTTTATCTTTTGTGTAAATCGTATTAAACGTAAATCTTATTACAAAACAAAGAATTGAATACAATTGGAATTTCGTCAAGATAACATGGAAAAAACCAACACAGATATTTCCCTCGAACGGAAATCAAACCTAGACTCTCATCTACAGAAAGCAGATTACCTCGCAATTTATAATTGCTTACATCTTAGATCATTTTATTATTATGTATATAACATTTTCAATTGAAACATGTCATTATAAATCATTTACCGCTCTAAAGTAAATTGAGGTCAGAAAGGAAGTAATTTATATTTTTTTATTAGAATGTACTCACATCTCTTTTTATAAGTCGCTTGATACATTGTCATCATCTTGCTGTCGAGATCATCGCAAGGGTGATCGAGTATATCATTTGTCACGTCTACCATCTAGAAAATTACCGACGTTTTATCATAGGCCTATATTAAGTAATATTATTAATAATCCATTTCATTTCATTACTTAACTATAGTAAAATTATGTAGTAAAAGATATTTTTATGGATTACATTTGTAACTAATTTGTAACTTAAATTAATGTCTAAAGTATTATCTACATTTAAAACATAATGTTTAGCCCTCAGTCGTTTCCTTTTAAACCTCTTCATCAACAGATTACAGGTAATATAGCTTTCTCTACCTTGCTGTTATTTAACGCTTAAAAACGTAAAATACCCATAACTGTTCAAGAGGGACAACTGGATGCTAAAATTGATTTTGTATTTACTTATAATGTTTGTAGGACTCAATTCATTTTCCAAAAAAGTGAAAGTTTAGTAAAAGAATTACTGACAATAAGTTTATTTTTTAGTACCTGCTTTCTCAACTGTTCATAATCCTGGCATAGTTTTTGCTCTTTTTCGAGCAATTGCTTATATTGTTCTACGCGAGGCGAGTAAGAATGGGAATCGCAATGGCAATACGGGGCGACGGGCGCTGGCCTTATAGATGGTGCCGCATCAGGCGTTGGTGGTTCACATGGTCTAAAATTCAATGTTATAATATACGATAGTTGTTTCTTATATAATTCTGATTAGATCTACTCATTGGAAATATTTAATCCTTATATATTTAATAAACTTTACGATCAATGAAACAGTACCTAAAGCTATCATTACATATTATATAGTATTAGGTATGTGATCTGCGATATTACTACTTCAATAAAGCAGGCTATAAAGATAAAAAAGTGTACTGTTATTAAATATCAAACGCATACTTTCCCACTATAGGTTTTGGAAAAGGCCAGTGATAATCATTATTGGTTGTTGTGATGAAATCCATTTTACTTTAAATTTTCCTGAAATTATAGTTTAAGTTTTTAACTGAATAACAGAACATACAAGTCATGTCATAGTTTAGTGCACCTATATTTTACTAACCTCAATTAATTATGTTAATATTTTTTAAATTAACAATCACTGCTTTTGCTAAATGACACCCTACATAATTTAAAACAGCTTTTGAAACAAGAAATTTTATCTGCATTAGAATTTCATCAATGAGGGAAGATAAAAACATTTTGACGGTTTTTTTTTCTTTTTGTACATTTCAAAAACAGACAGTTGTATAAAAGTGACTGTTTTCATGCTGATAAAATGGGAACGTACAATTTTTTTATATGGTATATATTTGCTGCTGGCAATTCGAAAAAATAATATTACGCCTGGCAACTCGTATGTTTTTCTGTCATCAGTCATCAAATCAGCTGTGTATCACATACTAGGAACATGTAACATAACAAATGTGCGTATTTAAAATTTTGATGTGAAAATGTCCAGTGCGTCAATTGATATAAAAGCAACTCAATGTTTATGATAAATTTTTTGTGGAAGAAACATGGCGCGCCGGAGGAGCAGTGGTATCACGAGCCTGGGGTTTAACCAGGATCAAGGTTTGTCTTACTTCCTAGTTTGCTAACACAAGTTCTTTGTTCTCTTTAGTAGGTATTATTTAGTACGTGAATGATTTAAGTATACGTGTCGCGTAATTTTTGATCTAAAAAAATTAGACACAGTACGAATGCAGCAGTTACGCTTTACTATTGCGTTGCGTACATTACGATTGCCACGCTTCTTGCGTTCGTAAAAACTCCACGTGTTGTTGATATTTTTGGTAACGCGCCCACGCAGTTTATGTTATGAATACTCACTATTGTTTGGCCTACTTAAATACACTATTTAGGAAATTAAAATTACAATTATAACAAAGAGTTATCCTTAAATTCTTTGTAGTAAAAGATATTGTTCATTATTTTAAGAAAACACCTTCTTAATATTATTGTAAATATGAGTCATCTTGAAAGAAGCCTTTATGTTTGGTTATGTAGAGTTTATTCACCTTAGATTTTGCGTTCAAACATATGTAGTTGAACCCAAATTGTTTATCTATAATAAAATGATAACAAACTATGGTGAAAAGTGTACATTCATAGTATAATAATCTTAATAATATGAATATCAGATTTATTAATTTTGTATTAAATACTATATTATATGTATATTTTGTTATGAAATTTTTACAAATATGATTATTTATATTGTCATTTATTTACGGACAGGCTGCTTCACTTGCTGTTTAACATCTGGCCTGCGCGTCTATAATGTGGACCCATTGGTTGAGAAGGCACATTATAGTAAGTTAATACATTGTTTTTATTTGATTATCTATTGATATCAATTATTTGGTTCTCTAATAAATGAATTTTAAATAAGGTCAACCTTATATTCTTTAAATAGTTGTTTCTATGGTAAAACTAAGTTCTAAGATGCATATTGTTAAATTTCCTCAAAACAATATGCACATTCTCAAAACCTTACTGTATATATAATTGTCTTTATTTTTCTTATGGCAGTGACATCAATGCAATAATGTATATGACACAGGCTTAATATGTAATAGCCACATAAAAAAGTTAGTCCAATATTTCAAAACTTAAAAAAAAAAGTTAAATCTTACAATACAAAGGAGTATAAAGAAATATGAAATAAAAATTCATAGTTTATTACTCATTTTTAAGATTGAAAACTTAGTTTTTATTTAAGCTTATGTTAAATTTAAAGAATTCCTTATATTCTGTATCTTTCATTATAATATGTACACAAAAATCTCAACAATATATGTATTTCCACTACCATTGATAACAATTGTTATGTGGACAATCGCAAAACCAAAATCTAAAATTAGGAAAATAATAATTTAGATTTTGACACAGTATCAAATCAAATTATACTTACTAAAAGTACAAAATATTTTCATGAGTATGAGATCATGTTTGCTAATAAATAATCATTATTTAATTACAAAGGTACACTTAATTTAAAATAACTTTAAAATGATCTATACCAGTCTTATTATCTTATTTATAGTGATGGTCCCATCCTTCAAATGTAACTTACCCATGCAAAATCTGTTATAATTGGCGAAAATATACAAGCGCGTAACACACAAAAATCATACATCTTGACCGAGTACCTTATTTTTTAAAGTCTGTCAAGAATAAACTAAATATTAAATATAGATAATGTATATTATAGGCAAGGAAGAGTTGGGAGAAGTGTCGCTATGTGAGATGGTGTTCCGTACGAATTGGCTGCTAGTGGTGCGCGCGCGCAGGCCTTGCAGCCTCATGCTACTGGACGATCAGCAACGTGCCTTCAAAGCCGAAGTGCTGTTCAAATCGCCCATACGAGCGTTACGAGCTCGCAAAGACAAGTAAGTGAAAATAAATTATACATTTGGTTATTCTTTTAACTTTCCAACTTATTAAGTTAACGAAATTTATTAAATTTTCATAATCGTTACTTAGTGATGTTTTTGTGACAGACATATATTTACCTAATCGCGTATTATATCGGGATAGTACTTTATACTTATCTCTATGAAAAAATCACTGTCCGTCAATCTCTTGATTGGTTGTTTTTGCCGCGTGAAAATACAAACAAAATGGACAAGTTAAGATAAAAACACACCATTGCATATTATTCATCCTAAATATAGAAAAATTTAAATTCTATAATATAAAATTTTCTTTATATATAAACTATCTATTACCGAATTTCAATCGAAACCATAAAACTGCCAAAGCATAGATAACCAATACTCCAGAACATATTCTTTCCACGAGGTAACATAAATAGTAGGTATTTTAATATGTATTTATAAAAAAATTATTTAGACCTCGTTATTACTCGAGTGCTATAAACATAAAACTAAAATTTTATGACGCAAATTTTACGTCAAAGCTATCTCTATTGTATGAAAATAATTACTTTGCAAATACATTACTAGGCTGCTTTGCATTCCACTAAGCCGTTATTTGTACTGTATTACTTAAAAATTCATATGGACTCTATTCAAGGCCTTGGCTTTTTTAACCTTCGAATATTTTTGGGCCAAACTTACCTATACAATTAAGTAATTGTTTTGTGTTTTCATTAATTAAAATGTTATTTATATGAACACAAACAATAAAATATATCCTCTCTAATATTTTTCTGCATAAAGAAAAAGGAATGCTTTTTGTTTTTATAACGACTCACCCTCGCTGCGTTCGGGATAGTTTTATTTAAAATGTCAAGTATTCGCGTAAATCTAAGAATGTAAGATATAAAAACTTCTTTTCAAATCTTTGTCCTTGATCTTAAATTTTTTCACCAAATCCAGAGCTTCACGTGACGTTATCTCTATACGATTGTAACTTGTGTTGCAACACCAAATAGACTTACTGTATTTACTTCCAATCGATAACATATCATAACCTTAACCAACTAACCCAATACTTTTATAATCAGTATTTCTACAACACTTATATGTAGTGCAGAAATCTTGAGAAAAAAAAGTTTTATATTTTTAAATATGTATCTATAATTAGATAATAGACATTTAATAATTTAAATGCAAAGAAGAGCATGAAGGACCTTTTTGGAAATGATTTAACTGTAATGAAAAGATGTTATAAAAGTATGGGAAATAATATTTATAAATTATTATATGCCATGATTAGTCTCTAAATTATAATCAAATATTATTTTAAATATGATATTTACAACTACCAATAAACACATTCGCCGATTAATTATAATAACGCCCGCGTCCAGGTGACCAAAAACCAAATTCTTAGGTTTTACATATTAGTATACTCTTACATAGCAGTTTTTGTATTCTTTCATAAAATTGAGATATTTTCCCGCGGTAAAAAGTATCCCATATGTTGACCCGGATAACCAGCTATCACCATACTAAATTTCATCAAAATTCCTCCAGTGGTTTTTTGTGATGCGGTAATAGACAGACAAAAATTCTAAACGCTATAGATTCGGCCCCTGTATCGATAATAAATTTTATTTTAATAAGATTTTCCAAAAAATATCTAATTATAAAGATTCGGCTTAGTTACAATTTTATTATATGTATAGAAAATCTCAAGAATTCGTCTTTGTCGTATTTATTTCTCTTTGAGTTTTATTTCTATATTTTCGTCAATGATAGTTTAATAATAATTTACAGGAGTAATATAGAAAGATAATACAAAAGAGTTTAACATTTCCAAGAATTTACATTATATGTAAACGATGTGTTTTTGACCCTAAAACAATGTTATTTGACCTTACCAGTCACCGTTACAGTGAGTGTAACATAAAACTACTTACTTTAAAATGAACTTGAATGACTTTTAAGTTAATTATATGACATATTAATAATTAATGTGTGTACTTGTCGAAAGTAGAGTAGTAGTACAGCTTAGAAGCTATATGATTAGCTAAATGAATGATAATGCTTATATAATTTAAAAATCCGCTTACTACACATAATATTGCAAAATCGATTCTTGCCTTGATCCTATATAAATAATGTCCATAAAAATAGCCTTAATACGACGATTAAGATATTCCTCATCATTGATTCATCTAAATCCGTTCAACGGTTTACACATCTTGACAAAATTAAATATTTGCAGTATTTATATGAATAAATAATATATTATTGGCAGAGGCAGTGGTAGCCCAGTGGCAATGCGTTTGCTTAGGAAACCTCTGATACTTTCATGTGCGAATCATTTCCAACATGATTACCACTTGTCTGAAAGAAACTGGCAAGTTTTCAAAAGACATGTGAAGTCCGCCAACCCGCACTTAACCGCGTGGTGGACTATGGCCTGATTCCCTTCGTACTGAAGGGAGGCCCGTGTCCAGCAGTGGGACGTTAAAAAGGGCTGCATACAATATATTAGGATTTTTTTTTTGGTTTTTTGCGTGTGGGGTAATGGAAGCAGAATGCCTTTTTTTATTATCTTGTCGAGCTAGCTTGTAAGTGTGTGTGGTCTACAATGTAATATTTTTTCTTTTTTAATATTTTTTGGTTTTAATTATGTCACATTGTATATTGCGTTGGCTTGCCTAATAAATAAATACAAAAAATGTATATTATTCCCCACTTTCCAGAGTGGCGGTAGTATTAACGTCGTCCATACAAGTGTTATCACTGCCATCGTTAGCGCGTGTCGCATTGCTCCGTACCCCGGCCGCCGCCCGGCCGCTGTGCGCGCTCGCGACAGATCCCAACGCGCTACAGCTACTCGCCGCGCCGGCACATAGGAAGGGTTCTCTGCAATTATTGGTAAGTTGGGTCTTGTGTTAAACCTTATTTTTTGCCTATAAGATTTATAATTGACTGTCTTGTATTTTTTGCCTCTGAAGACGTAGGAAAATGTAACCAGTTCCACACACACATTACCGTTGTCGTAGACTCCTTACATGGTATGCCACTGAGTTCAATGTCTACGCATCCAATTGTTGAATGCTGGCTTGCATACCTAGCATGTCTCTCCACTTAGCTGGAGGGACACTACCTATAAAATTATCCAGCATTAAATTTTTACAATTTCTTACTGAATGGAGTTCTGGTGTGTCCCATTCTGGAACCCAAATACTTTACTTTCAGCTTACTTACTTATACTTTACAATATAACCATTTTTTATCAAATGCCTTAAAATCTAATTAATTCCTGTATTCTAAACTACAATATTCCTCCATTCCTCTCGTTTAGGACGTATCTCGATCCGTTAAAGGAGCAGCATCCAGTTCCCCTGCTGTTGTGGGCTGTCATCAAACAGATCTAGTTTGTATAAGTCTGTCAGCGAACGGTGCCAAGTTAGCCACAGCTTCCGAACGCGGGACCATCATACGCCTGTGGGATACTGCTACTAAACACATGCTGCATGAGTTGAGACGAGGTTCGGATTACGCGGATGTTTATTGGTGAGTGTTTCAACTTTAAAGATGATGTATATACATACATATTTATATTCTATATTTTACTTATTTTTTTGTATTTGACTGTATAGAATTTAATATAATAAGTGTTTACGAATAGCGTAAGGTAATAAATAGCTAGTGCTTATTAAATATTATTTATGGTATTATATATACATTTTTATTTATACAATTAGTTGTAGGTATAATAGTGAGGCTACGGAACTTAAAAGCTTGAATTTGTAAGTGGCAAAATACCTTATTCCCGAAGTTTTGACTGGGTTGTATCAGCCGTGGTCACAGGGATCTGGTCCCGTACTATCATTATTATACAATTATGAAATTTTTAAAAGATATATGAAATTAGTTTTTGCTCCGCTTGCACGTTAGGTTAATAAAAAATAGCCTATGTCTAGGATATAAGTTAACTACACTTCGAATTTCATTCGAATCCGTTGAGCCATAACAGCATGGTGCGCAGCCGTTACGAATAAACATATGTTTATAATATTAGGGTTATATACTTAAACATCAATAAAATTACTGACTTCAAAAACACAGACGTACAAATGGGATACATTTTTTATGTAATAGCTATAATACCTATAATATGGTGATTATATCGCGTATCTATTACGCGATATGATCGCCATATATATTTCAATTGAATTTTAACAGACTATTTCTCTAAGAGTGTTATAAGGAATTACTTTTGATATTTACTATTTAGGGAATATGCATGATTTTTTTATATTTTTATACAACAACTAACATCGTTGTATAATTGTAAAAAATATCCAGCTCTAAAAAAACTAAAATTTGTTTTTTTTTTTAAAATCGTACCGATACGGATACTTTACACGCCCGCCATTACGCGCGCTTGGCGTGACATCAGAGTATCATACATAGAAAATTTTTGACTTCAATTTGTAGAGACAAAATCACTAATCGCTCTATTATGATAATACTCTGACGTCATATTTTGTCTGACCAATGGCGTGCGTTTCGACTACTTTGAATTTCACTTTTTATTAATTAGGTATATATTTTCTTAAAAAAAAAATACATTAAAAAATATTTATGTAGGCTTAATGCAAAAAGCAATACAGATTATAAAAAACATGCATATTCCCTATTCATTCGGTGTACATTCCCAACTCGACGGGAACAGTATAAACTTCAACACGTCCGGGTCGCTGGTGTGCTGCGTGTCGGACAAGGGCACGCTGCACGTGTGGCGCGCGCGCGGGCCCTACGCGCACGTGTGCGCCGCGCCCGCCGCCGCCGCGCGCGCGCTCTGCGCCTTCGCCGACGAGGGCAGCGCTGTCGGTGAGACTTACACTTACCTCACATTACATGTTATCAGCGCTGGATTTACACTAGTGACACTCGGGGCTAGTGCCCAGGGCGGCGAAATTCGGAGGGCGGGAAAAAAAGTTCCTTGCGTTATCGAAAATGCTTTTTTTATTGAAAAAAAAGATTAACTAGTAGACCGTACATTTTTCGAAAAATTGATGTGATATTTTATAATTATTATTTTTTTGCATTTTTCAAAAAATGAGTAATTTAAGAAAAATCAACTTTCAACTTTTTATTCAAAATTTCGATAATAGGGCGGAATTTCTTACTACATATGTCCAGGAGTGGCGCTAAGGTTAAATCCGGCACTGCATGTTATGTTTTATAAACGCACAAACATACATACACACACGCGCACACACTCATGCACACGCACACGTTATCCTTTGCGGGGTAAGCAAAGAAATTTCTATTGTAAAGTGTACGTTTAAAGGACGTAATATTATATTACAACATATTATAAGTTTAAGTCGCTCAGCATTTGTGAGTTCGTTTCAGAACAATCTGAAAGTTCATTTCAGAAAGTATTGATTGGATTTTCACACGATTTTCACTAATAGAATGAGGGATTATTGAGGAAAGTGCAAGGTGTAATTTCCTTCAAATTTTTCCCGACTGAATTTATAAACATTTTCATAAATTAAAAAAAACGTGGTGTGTGTGTACTTATGTACGCACGTAAGAAGTAATACTTTTTTGGCCTAACAGAACAAAAATTGCTAAAGATTTCATACCTTATGTCACTACTCTCTGTTTGTAAAAGGAACTTCATCATGTCGCTTTTTGGCTGTCGGTGTACGCGCGCATCGTAAAAATTTTACTCTCATAATTTTTCCAAAACGTGCCAAAAAAAGTATAACTTCAAAAAATTATAACCTATAACCTTCTTCTAACTTTACGAATTACGAGTTATGTGCATAATATGTACATAGATATTCCCAGTTAGATTTGCCGTAATGGCCGAAATGTAATAGGAGAATATTATAACATATGCACAATATCTAAATACGTATAATATAATTCGGATTCTTCTTATATATTTTGATTGTATATTGGGTTATAATTAATTTTAAATAGACTACGTACGTAATATGTTCACAAATTAAAAATATTGTTATAAGTTTATAATTATTATTTATTTTTTACAGTTATCTGTGAAGACGGAACATTTCACAAATTCTCGTTTTCCACTGAAGGCAATTGCCATCGCAGCGATTTTGAATATTTCTTACAGGTGTGCCTTTTTATTTATTATAGTATACATTAATTTCGCGGACACTGTAGTGTGAATCAAAACTAATAATTATCCTACTCAGATTGAAACAAAATATTCTATGTATTTTTTGTCAAAAAATATCAAAACTATATTTGATTCTCCCTTACCACACCATTCCACACAATTAAATTTTTTTTTCTTTAACCATTTAAATTCAAGTTTTACTGAGAATTTAGTAATAGAATTACTGAGAATTTACTAAAAGTTCCATATTTTAAGGTGTTACGTGAACATAATATATTATGTATAACTAGGAATATTCGAATGTTTTTTATTTTCTCTTATACTGTTAAAATGGCGCTTAGGCAAAATATTTTTTTATGTGTACAATACAGAAAAAAAATCAAAACAAAATAACTATTTAACTATGTACACATTTATTAGTATTTGTTTTTTTTTCATTCATTTTACATGAACATCAATAACAACGCCATCTATTGAGAATTATTTAAACTAATTTTTCTTCCTGGTAGACCACATGCTCGAAACTAAATCTTATAAAACTTACCTAGCTAAATATTTGTACTATTTAAGCCAAACTATAGTTAATACTATTTAAACCAAAAAAATATGACTGAGTATAACCTTTACGCGCGTTTGAAGTTCTTTACGCAGTTAGTAGAAACTTCTTTGGTGCTGTGACAGATACCGCAATTATTTAGTATTGAATTACCCCTAAAGAAGTTTTACTTCAAATGAAAACAATATTAAACAATGTTTAACCTTTTTAATTTAATTTTTTACAGGTTGGTGACGATGACGAATTTTTGCATTAGTTTGTTATATATTAATGCTAACAAGGGACAAAAAAATTGTAAAGTGAAAATAAAGTGATAATACATGGTAATATTAAATAAAATTAGGCATCTGTGAATCTTCATGAGATGATGTATTTTTGCTACGTTATAATTGGTTAGACATTTTAAGGCTAATATAAGTATTCCGCGCAAATGTGATATTGTTAATTTTGAAAATAGTTATTAAAAAAAAACATTTCGATGACTATTTATCGATAGTAATAGCGTTATTACTGAATATAAGACTGCGCTTATAAATTTAATGTTAACAAAACATCAATGTTGTATATACGTACTTATATTACCCTTAAAAACATGCTCTTATAATACTTAAATTTGAAATTAGAATAGCTGTTTCATATAAACCATAGACGTAGAGAATGGACTGAGCCATCTTGAAATTGAAAAATAAAGAAGCGGCCAATACCAGTAGTTGATTCCAATTTAAATTTATAAATCGATTATAAAAAATATATATTATAATGTAATGTGAAATTGTTATAAATACCTATGTTCATTAATCGTATTTCAATGAATACAGAAGACTTCTGTCCGCAGATTCGTTTTGTCTTTGTCGCGCCTTTCAGCCATTTTAGCTGTCAGCTGACAAAGAAACACTCAGTCCACTCTCTATGTCTATGATACGAACATAGACTTATAATTAAATAACACCAAATCTTATAAATATAAAGTCTATGGTAGCATTAAAACTTTATTATAGTTGTTGTTTCGTTTTTTATTTAATTTTGTATTAAATTATAATGAGAGCAACGAAATTTGCATTAATTATTTTTTTTTATATAAAAATCAAAAAATATTCAACACATACATATTTTATATGTATGTATGTATGTATGTATGTAAAATAAATAAAAAGAAAGATATATATACTTATATTATAACTTTCTTATTTTTAAAAGACAACGGGCACTAAATTGCATTTTTTTATAATAGTTATGAATAGTAAACGTTTAAATTAAAGTTTTCATTTTTCATTTCATTCAAAAATGAAAGTATGTGTGAATGGAAATATGCAATAATTATAAATATAAAAAAAAATAGGGTAACATTTATCACTCACTCACTATATATTATTATTTGTGAATGTTTTAAAACTATATAACATTATATGAAGAAGCATATATATATTGTGTATTTTTTTAATGTAAATTGTAAATTGATAAGTTTTAATTATTTTAACATTTGTTTTTTAAATAGTTAAAATATATAAGCAAAACGTAATTATCATAAAAGTACTGTAATATTCTACTTCTTTGAAGTTATTTATTTTGATTTTATTTATTAATACAAAAGATGCTATTTTAAAACAAATGTTAATATCGATGGTAAAATGTCAATATAAAATACGAAAATTAGGTACTTGTGGTGTTCTTTTTTGTTCTTGTACGTTGTTGTACAAGTGTTGTACGTGTTTGTATGTTTAAAATAGGGTAAAATACACAATTTTCATAAGATTATGAGTATATTTTTATCCGAATGCGCCAGAAGGAGGGTTATGTTTTTAGTGTGTATGTATGTATATTTCTTTGACACACTCTGAACCGTAAACGGCTTGATGGATTTTAGCTTGAGAAGTGTCGTTAGATTCATCTTAATTTTGAGAGTGATACTAGGTATATGAAAATTATAAAAATTTGGGCGCCGTATTGTCTTCAAATATTTTTTCCTTAAAACCTCTCAAGTATAGACGGTTTTATAAATGGATTACCAAATATATATAACTTATATGTTTAAATGTAGTTTGGGATAAGAAATGCTACAAATAACAAACAAAAAAAAACTATTTACAAAAATAAAAAACTGACTGCATGAAAACCTAAATAAAAAGATGAAAACAAGTTGATGAAGAAACATAGTATTATGCATCTGGAGACAAGCACACACGCAGCTATTATAAAACATGTACATTTACATATTTATGTCTCCGGCTGCATAATACTGTCCTTTGTCAACTTGTACTTTTCTTTTTAGTTTACTTTTTTAGTTTGTGCTGGCCACATCGCTCTGGTTGGCTTAATAAATTGATTAATATGTAATTATTTTGTCAAAATACGAATCCCATAAAATTCAATATCATGAAAATAGATTTTTTCCTATAAAGTTATATTTATTTAATTACAATATATTGACACTTCACCTTCGATATACTATTACTCTTAGTCATAACCTTATTTTTAAATATTCATATCGACATGAACATTTAGGAATGATAATTATACATATATTATACTGTAGATATGAATTGATTTATTTTTATATCCAAATAATTTGAACAAATTATCTTTTTAGTTTTACTACTTTAATTATATTAATTGACTAGTGACTTACCCTCACCTCGCTCGGGTGCGTCATTCATGAACCCTGATTCTTTTTCTAAAATAAAAGTTATAACATAATAACATCAGCTATCTGCCAGTTAAAGTCCCATCAAAATCGGTCCAACCATTTCGGAGATTAGCCGGGAGAGTAAAAAAAATTTAAAATTGTTGTTTCCTTATAAGTACCTTGTATATTTTCATATGTATGTGTATGTATATATTGCTATTATTCTATATTTATATAGATATGGAATAATAGCAGTATTGAATATATTATTTTATTATAATTATCATTCTTAACTGTCCATATCGATTTTGAAATATTCCGGTGTGATTTTTATTCTTATTATTGTAATAAATTGTAGTCTCTCGCGCAATATGTATATAATAATGTAATGTTTGTGATGTCTTGTGTTTGTATACATTATGTTATGGAAGATTGTATGAACAAGTTTTTGCGTTTCACTCATTAAAGTATAGTGAAACGCCTTGTGTGATGCAAAGACTAAATAATTTACGTATCAATATTTTAATTACTAAAATTCATCATATAAAATCGATTTTTATTTTATATTATTACTTTAAAAATTTTACGCCCAATGAGGTACGAGACCTTGCATTTGCTCAGTCAATGAATAAAATCAACTTTTTCGTTAAATGTCAACTTGAAAAAGCTATTGTGACTTAGCAAAAAAAATCCAATTCTCATTTTTTTATTTTAATCAAATAATTATATTGGGGATGGTGATAAAGTACGATTCTTTTGACAATTATTATGTAAAATATATTATTTCTTATATAGAATTGATTTTTATTTACATTAGAAATTCAGGACCTATATCGATATAATGATAATAAGTCATAATCGAAAAGTATTCAAAGTCACTCTCCACTAATTCTATAATCATAAATCTATTGGTGCATGCATAATTTTAGTTACAAATATTAATATATTTTGAAGCATATCTTTTATGTTTAGTTATTATTGTTAGTTAAATTTGAACTGAGAGAATATAGGTTAAAACTTTAAATGATAAATTCCATAAGAAACTTAGAATGGGTTGACAAGTTGGATTTATGTTAGACCACCTAATGTTAAGATGACAATTGAGTGATAACTCAATAAAGCCCTCAAAAACTCATAAATATAATTTTTTGCGAGTCTCAACAGCCATTGTGTATTTATTAATTGGTAATAATTAATATATGACTTGGTTAGTAAGTTCAGGATGTCAACTTATTCACAATATGTAATTAACCCCATGAGTTGTTTTCATGTGTATATTGTATAACCATGTAAATAATTAGTGGCATAGCTTTTATATATCAATGCTAGAGGTAGTAAATCAATGTGTCAGCTTTTTCTACTTTTAAGGAAACAATGACAACACTTTTGCAAAGATAATAAATAAGATTAAAAAAATATTGCTAGTTTAATTCTTGTGGTATGATTTTTATCAAAAAAAGTTAATAAATTGGAATAACAAGTTTACTTTTACAATAAAACAAGGAATAAGTTTTTTAAATTAATAAATATATGTATCTATAAAGTACAAACAATTGGTAATTCATTTACTTTATCAATTCAACAACGGAATTAGCTGAGTGGATAGACTGTCCGCTCAGCAAATTTTCAGCTATGTCAGATGTCTTGGATTTCTTATAGTACTTTAGGTAAATAAAATATAAGTAAAAATTATCCACTTTTGAATAAAATAAAGAAAAAGTGATAATAATGATTAATTTTCCCAATGATCATCTTTTTAAAAATATCAATTCTTAGTTGAGTAAGGTGTAAATAAAAAGTATAATCAATTTTTTTATTAAAAATCACATATAATTTATAATCTAAGTAACTAACTATTCAACTAGATATTTATATTAATTTTATTCACTTTCCTTTTTGCGCCCAAATGGATCTGACCAGACCTTCATATCTAAAAAAGAATTATTACCATTAATATTACCTATAAAGATATCATGTGTGTAATAATGATTATTCAACAAGTTAATTTCTGTAGATTATTTATCATAATCCCAAATAATGATACGGTAGATTGACAAATTTTGATGAAACATGGTATACATAGAGACTGTTCTGGATTACCACATCATATTTATTTATTACAGCATCAGTTAAACTTCAGTGGCATATAACTTGTAAAAAAATCAACTAAGGAAGTGCTTAAGTAGAGCAGTAAATAATAAATAAATTATACCTACTAAAATACATAAATCGTAGGTTAAAAAAGAAGTTAATATAGACTATGTCCTAAAATTTCAACTTACTTCCAGGTTGAATATCTTCTTGTTTTATATTTTTCCTTGTCTCTTTTTGTATTTCTTCTGAAAGGTGTTTAGTTAAGATTTAAAAATGTGTGTTATATAATATTAAATTATTCTTAAATATTGGTTTCTAAATATAAAACTTACTGTATTCACTAACATCAATCATTGGACTAATAATAATTGGATACAATGCGAGTCCTAGTAAACCAACAAAACCACTTAAAAATGCCACATAACGCACGTTTTTAGAAATTGCCATATTAAGTATATTATGTCTCTTTATTTGTTGAATTGTATTATAAAATCTAATCTCATTTCAATACAGATTTTTCTTGGTATTTTACAAACTAATGACTTTATCAAATGTCATTTATGACAGCTCACAGCTGTCAATTGTCATCAACAAGTAACAAACAAATGGCATGTACCTACCATTTATTCGTATAAAATGGGGAATTTTGCCTTTTTCTCCCGCCAGACGTCGCAATTTCTATAACCCTCAGTATATTGTAAAGCTCTATAGCGTAGATGGATTTTTGTTTCATTTTATTTAAAATTTGATTAAATGACTAATTGTGCAGTGTCAGGATGCAAAGAAAATGGATATAATTGGCTCCCAAAAGACAAAAACTAAAGAAATTGTAGGCTAAAGTAATAAGGTGACCAAAAATGACAAAACCACAACCTTTATATTTAAATATTGCCTTAATGCTATTGGACATCATTTTACAGAATGTGATTTTAAAACTCTTAAATCGTCTACAGGTGAATATTTTTTTATTTTTCATTAATTACAGTTTTAATCCCTCATTTTATCCTCTTATGGGATTAGTTTTCGAAAAATACTAAAATACGTATTTATTTAATTGTATTGAAGAGCATTAATCAACCAAGTTTCAAGTAACTCTGATCATAAATAATTCTTTGCCCATAAAAACTTTATTACCCTTTTTAACATATTTCTAATATATTAAAAAAAACTGCCTAGCTACTAGCTAAAAAACTGGCTAGCATGTACTGCTGCACGCTCGGAGGTCCTGAGTTCGAGTCCCAGGTCGGGCCAAGTTTAGTTATTGAGTCTTTCTGTATAGTGAGCCTCAGTAACAGCCCAGATTTGGGAAGTTGGCGGTGTTTCACCGCCGTGCCTCGGAGAGCACGTAAAGCTGTCAGCCCTGCGCCTTAACTCTCACCGGTCGTGTCGAATAGTCGTCCCACCGGAGTATGAGAGTGACAGGAAGAGAGAGTGCACTTGTGACTGCAAAATTTGTTCACTTGTGCAATTATTATCATGGGAAAATACAAAATTTGGTACTATCTAGATTTTTTTATTCACTTTTAACGGAGACGGGTTTAATTTTCCATATAACAGTGGTTCACAAATCGCAATCGTTACGCGTTAGTGGAATTATCTCTTGGAATTTGGTCTATAACTTCAGAAGCTATATTATTAGTATAGTATATATCTAGTACTATATTTAGTATTTTACAAATACCACAATTCTATTTACATTAATATTTTATCTTTGGAATACTTTTTCGCGATAATGTTATCGTACAATAGCATTGCGATAACATTTTTTTTTTTTTTTTTTTTTTTTTTTTTTTTTAACGTTGGGAAATGCATTTACGCACGAAGTGTGGGACTCACCGGCGAAGCCAGTACTACCCACTAAAACCCAACAAAACCTTCCCCCGTCTTAATGGGGCGTCGCAGGATCGCTTACGCATTCAACTACGACGCCCCGACGGCAGGTCTGCCGAAGCAGACCACAACAACCATGGGGTTGCTCCACGGTCCACTCTGCTATCAGAGAAGTACCAGGAGCAACCCGCATGGTACACCACCCTCCGAAGAAGGCCGCCTCCCACCGCCCGCCGAAGCGGGCCACCTCCCTGTGCGTTTCTTGGCTTCGCGAGTACACTACTGAGCCCCCCCACCACGACAAGGTGAACGCACGTTGGGGGGGGCGATAACATATAAGGTAGTCATAGAAAGGGGTGAAAGTTTTTACGAAAATTAAAAAATTAAATGAATTAAAATTATTATTCCTTTGTCCTCAGAAAAGGTAAAGATAATAGTCATTATAAATAATAGGTCCTATTTTAGGAATATGAAATAACACTCTTTCTAGATATCATAAATAGAATGATTGTTCCATTAGTTCCAATAATTATTAACTGTTAGTCTAAATATTTTTTTATATATTATTACGTCAAGTTATATCGACAATAGTATCTTACCGTCAGTAAAAAATCTCACTTTAATCAAATGTAATATTATTTTACCCTTTAAAATGAAACAAATAATTATTAATTAAATTAGGCTGAATTCTTCCTCGAAATAAAATCGCAGCTGTTTAACAAGTTCAACGGTCAAAGATTAACTACGTCAATTTTATTTGTTAATTAATGAATTATGAATCATACTGTTTTCTAGTACATTTCTATTGTCATATCTGTTTTGAGTTTCCCAATAAATTACATCTTAATAACAATATTATATAAATCAATATTATTTTTTATTAAAATACTTATAGAGGACTAGCACTGCCTGCGGTTTTCTAGTTGTTTTATGTGTAACCAGAATATCTTACCTTTATGTCTCAAATAAAAAACAGAACTATCATAAAAACTTATATATACATATAATAAAGGTATACCAAACAGCTGTGTGCTGTATAGATGAAGTAGTTGTACAGATTTCGTAACCGACAGACCGACAATAATTCTAAAAATTGTTTACTTGGCTGATAATAATCTCTGCACCGATAATAATGATTATTAAAATAAAAATTGCAAAAAAATATTCAATGTAGGTATAACAATATAGCTTGATTGCAATGTTTACCCGACTACGACGCAAAAAGAGGCTTATGATTTTAACCGTATGTACGTATGAATGTATGTATGTACTATGTACGTTCATCTGTTACCTCCTAACTTCTAAACTATTTATCATAATTTGACAAATGAGGTATCGTATTAAAGCGTCTTCTTAAAAACAACCTACCCTAATAAAACAATACACTCTAACAGTAATAGATATATGACCACAGTTATTCTTTGAACATCGCTATAAATAAGTATTATAAACACATTAAAATAATAGATGTATCTAAAACGTGTAAGATCTTTATTTATCTATACTAATATTATAAATGTGAAAGTTTGTGAGTATGGATGTATTTTTGTTACTCTTTCACGCCAGAACGGCTAAACAGATCTGGATAAAATTTGGCACAGAGATAAAATATAGGAATAAGACATAGGCTACTTTTTATCCGGGAAAAATGAACGGTTACCTTGGGATAGGTTTGTTTTAGTCTTCCTAGAGGCGAACCCGAGCGAATATTGGATAGTGTGTACTTTGTAGATGACAATTCCAGATAAAATTATTTTCTTGTTTGCGTGATTTTTTAATTGTAGGATTTCGGAGGAGTTTTGTTACAAACACTGTGACTCGAGACTTTTATATAATAGAGATCTAAAAAAGAAAGATATTGTTATAGCCTATAGGTGCCTACGTCATGTGTGTACACTTTTATTTTACCTACCTACTAGTTATACCTATATGACCCCTGTTCATAATATGAAACCATATCGTGCTACGAGGTCACGCTTTATCTTTAAACCTACTTTAACCGATTAAAATAAGTTACTATTCTCTATTTTATTAATTAAAATAACTGAAAACTAGCTCAGTCTGTTTACCTACAAATTACATTCATTAAGTAGTTATCATTTAATACGCAGGTATGATATTGGAACTGATCATATTGTATTTTTTGCTATGACTCACCAATATGCATTTTACATAACTTGTTTTAATTGACCTACATACATATATAACTTAGCCACTAGAATATACTTTGCATAAATCTTCACTATTAGTTAGCTTTTTAAGAAAAATTCTAACTATGAAAAATCGGAAATGCTGTACATAGATACTTATCAAATATTTATTAATATTTATTTATTTATTGACAAAAAAATAACAGAGTGAGAAATCAACGCTATTTATTAGATATTATATAATATGTAATGTGACCGATATTAAAAACTCTGTGAGAAAAACTTTCTAGGCGGTAGAAAATCTTTAATACCTTAATTTTATCTCATTGAGATCAATAAAGGATGATTATTAATTATTACAAAGGTGACTTAGGTACATAATACCTACAAAATTAGTATTCTAAGAAAATATTCTAAAATATTATAATTTTATATGCATAAGTATCTATAAAAAAGATGATCAAATAAAGCTATTTATAATTTTTGATTTATTTTATTTGTTATAAAACAAAGACAATCTTTTCATATCGATACCTTAATTGGCAAACCAGCCAACTCCACATCTCTTCAAAAAATATTTTTTGGTTCAGATTGTACGCAACTGTAATTCATTAGGATTATTTTTGTAAGATTTTACAGTATCAAAAATAACAGCTTACGATATTATCTACCAACGATATTTTAGATTTTTTAATAAGTGTCTCCTGAAAAATTGGCTATATGGAGTTAGTTAGTTCGCCAATTAAGGTATCGAAAATAATAAATATACTTTTAATTAAAAAAATACTATTTAATTGAAACACTTAGCGTAGTACAAAATTATATGTAGCGTCAACTTCCTTGAGTAATTGTAACAGTTTTGCGAAAACTAAGGTGGGCGCGTCTTTAGCCCACACAAAATCGAGATGATTAAATTCTTTAAGTGGTACAATATAATGTTCTATAAGGTTAGGAATTTTAACAGCCAAATTGGTGACATCGACGTCGCTGGCTAACCAATCATTTTCAGCACTAAACAGAGCTATTGGCAAAGTTATTTTGTTTAGAGGATATTCTGGCGGTGCAAAAGTTCCATATGCTCTAATATTGCCTTGAATACCATAGTCAAACTGTTGAAAGCTCCCTGCATTATTGATCTCTTGAGCGTAGTGTACTAATGTCTTAGACGAGGCTCCAGCTGGTGTATGTCCTAATATTGTAGGCAGTAAGGTTCGATTGAACTCTTTCTCATCATGCCCACATAACATAAATATTGAATTTTCACATATCTGCTGCTCATAATCATTCATTTCACACGCGTGCTGAGATAGCCAGCTTAATACACTTCCGTGCGGTAAAAATTCGTTAACACCAATAAGTTTTAATATAAATTCTAAATCATAACTGTATTTCGCGAGGAGATGAATTGGACTTCTGACGTTGGACATAAAAGCGACAGGAGCTAGTGCGTAGCCTCCTCTTAGCACTTTGTTGTATTGAGTTTTCGTAGAGAGCAAAGCAAATAGGATAGTCGTGCCCATTGAATGTCCGATATAGTTCAACTTTACTTCTGGACCTTTTATATTTACGATATAATCAATGACAGCGGGTAGATCATATTGGCTGACTTCATGAAAAGTGAAATTCCAAAAAGCAAAGGTATCTGTATTTAAAAAGACGTGAGATCTAGAGTATGTATTGCCTCGAACGTTTGCAATCCAGACATCGTAGCCAGCTTTAGAAAGTATGTACGGAAGACCCTTCTCAGGCCCAGGAATGACCCAATCCGCTGAACTGCCGAGGAGGCCATGATGAAGTAGAATTGTATCTTGATTTACATAATTATAATTTTCTTTTCCTGAATAAGGTATTCGATGAACCGTGAGTATGTAACCGTCTTCAGTAACTATTGTATGGGACTCAGAAAGGTAACCATGGGAAGCTATCAACTGTGGCGTCGTCATGTAGATGCTGGGATCTTCGTTATTAGTATGATATTCCACCGGCTGTGAACCAATAATATTCTGAAAATTTGGTTCATCCATTCGAGGATTTTTAGCCCCAACATTCGATTTAAGTGAGTGTACCTTTGTCTCAATTAAGCTTTTTATTTCAGTTGCTTTGTTTGTGAGGAAGTTTGGTATATCTTTTGTGAACCATTCGATGTGGCTTTCACTATAATGTACTAGTATGAACAACGTAAGAACAAAAAATAAAGGCTTCATTTTAACTACAACACGTGAGTTAGGTCCGCACTATTCGAGTCAACTGAGACTATTTACAGATAGGTACTCTGTGTGGACGTTCCTGTGCGGTCAGAATAGAAGCAAAACAAACAATATAAATAAATAGATAAAGTTATTGATAACAATATTTGTTTTGAATTAATATCGTAATTCGTATACTCAACATTTAAAATTTAATACTTTCTTAGATTTACGCGAATACTTGACAATTTAAATAAAACTATCTTTTCGGATTTTTTCGCGAGTTTATTTTGATTATTATATAGTTGTTACAGACAGGCTGTCTGTAACAACTATATAATACCTTAGAAATATCTAACACCTCAGTCTCTCCCGTGACCATGATTGCTGTAAAGCATTCGAAACGTCGGAAACCAAAAATCAAAATAAATTCGCGAAAAAATCCGTTTTATTTAAAATTTACTTATTGTTAGTAGGTACAAGTTCACGACGTTTATACATAAATATAAAACACATATGAAGCCTATTGTTTTGTTATAAGTTGTAACTAAAAATAAGTATAATTTCTTTGTAACAATATGTAATACTCTCAATGTGATTCACTGCGATATTATTAGGTATATTATCTATATAGTCGTCTGGTGAACTCTACATACCATACATAGGTATATTGGTCACAAGATTAGATATCATTAAAATATTGGGAAATCCAAATTTCAGCTAACTAACATAAATAAGGTAATGTTTTTTTATTCATTTATTTTCATTCAAACACAGGTCCATATTTAAGTACATAATATATCTCATTATAAACATTTAACAATAAATTGGAACTTAATACTATTAGGAACATTTATTTAATGTATTTAAATGACGATCTATGTGTCGTCATCCTATGCCACATTATGGGACTGTCAAGTCTTTTAGCGAAAGTGGCTACAAGGCTATTGGGGCTATCGCGCACTCGCCGCATCAGGGACTCTATTCGTGGTTTTACTAACGCGTAAAAGTCCGGCACACCAGCACTCGCGAACATCCCCGAAGCACTGCAAAAACGCGGTAGCCCCAGCATTACTCGGAAGGCGTAGTATTAGCTTGTATTGTGTTATTAGCTTGTATTGGATCGCAGAACGCTGACCGCTGTACGACCTCAGCGTATAACTCACACACTCACGTGCACGTACACGTGTACATGGACTGACACTAGGCTCTAAACAATGTTATTTTAACATCTCTTGTGCATCGATCGAACCTACGGGCCAGCATGTTACACCTAACTGTTATCGCTCTGCGCTTTTTGTAATAAAAATAAACTTTTATACACTACATAAATAGCAAATGATTCATTTGTTTTTGTTTGTTGGAATACTGTAATTTATCAGTTAGATTTGGAATAATCTCTTACAGCCTATTTATTGACAAATGTTTATTATTTGTGTACAAACTACGTCTATCTATATATATACAGACACAAGCTTTTGCATTTACAATTTGGTACTCCAATAAACTTCGCGAACGTGACTATTAATTAAAGAGAGTGTTTGACTTCACAGGCATACAATTCTGGGGTGAATATTTTGCATTGACATTATAATGAGTACCCATATGTAGATAAAGGGCGACTAAAGTCTAGGTACATCGGCGGTGAAGGGTGTGATGAATTGCTTTCTATGCTCTAGCCCTACAGGAAAAATAATAATAAATATGTACTAATTATTTAACACATATTTATTATTATTTTTCATTTAATATTAAATCGAAGAGAAGATTAATAAAAGTATTGCATAATACTTTCTTAGATTTACGCGAATATTTGATATTTTCTGATGACTCGTATGTATGTCTCCGACTGCATAATACTATATTGCATCGCGAACTTGTTTTCATCTTTTTAATTAGCTTTTATGTAGTCGGGCTTTTTATTTTTATAATATATTTATTTCTTTACAGCTTTTTAAGTATTTCTAAGTATTTAAATTAGCGAGAATGGTTGTTAACCAACTTTAAGTCATCATATATCCTAAACTGTTATTTAAAATGAAAAATGATGAAAGAAACCTAAAAATGATTTTTAAATACCTATTCAATGATACCCCACTTGATATGGTTCGTCGATTTTCATTTTTCTTTTTCACATTATGGAATCTAGCAGTACCCATATTCATTTATTTTTTGTCATCTATTTAAGAACACTAATACCTACTAATGAGGCGAATCTAACGATACCATAATTAAAGAAATTCATCAAGTGATTTGGAAGATATAAGGGAATAAAGAATATTATTACAAACATACAAAGATAGGCGCGAAAAACATAACCCTTTCCTAGCAGTCGGGTAATTAAAAAATATAAACAATTTAGGTATATTTTTAATGTAAATACCTACTTATTTAAATTTATTTAATGTTATATTTTACATATATATGTACCTACCGAAATAATAACAAAAAATACATTTATATTTAATTTATTACTTTTTGTGATAGTGCAAAAGATTTTTTCTATTCACAAGGAAATATTTGTAAGTAATAAAATGATGAAAACATAAATCTAGCAATGTTTAACTTGTGGAAATTAAACTAAAACTATTTATAATAGTAGTAATTCACTTAAGGGAATATAGATGGCGCTGCCCGTTTTTAAAACGCGCTATGGTTTGGTTATGATGAAAAGGCTAAGTAGTAAAGGAGCTCCCGATATGAACATTGATGTACAGACTCGACCCCTAAAAACTAGCTATTGCCCGCGGTTTCGTACCGTATATTTTTGGAAGTCTCATAATGAGAGACTTATTAATTACTAGATAGTAGATTCAAGATTGTTTGCGGCTCCGCCGGCGTTGAGAGTTGGGACTAGAGATGACAAAACGGCTAAAACCAAATTCTTATTTCTTAGGTTTTACATATTACATTAGTATAACTATACCTATACTCTTACATTGCAGTTTTTGCATTTTGAAAAAAATGTATCCTATATGTTGACCCGGATAACCAGGCTATCACCATACCAAATTTTGTTAAATCTTAAAATCCCTCCAGTGGTTTTTCTGTGATGCGGTAACAGACAGACAAAAATTCTAAAAACTATAGATTCGGCCTCTGTATAATAATGTCTATTTCAATAAGATTTTCCAAAAAAATATTTAATGTACAGATTTGGCTTAGTTACAATTTTATTATATGTATAGATTTCGTAATTAATTTATACTAGCGGCTCACCCTTGCTTCACTCGGGTTTACCTCTAGAAAAACAAAAACAAAACTTACCCTCAGAAACCGTGTATTTTTCCGGGATAAAAAGTAGCCTGTGTATTATTTCAGACTATAATCTCTCTCTGTGCCAAATTTCATCCAAATTCGTTTCATCCAGCCGTTCTGGCGTGAAAAAGTAACAAACATCCATACATACTCACAAACTTTCTCATTTATAATATTTATTTATTAAATTATTATACAGACTAGGTCTAGCAGAACTCGCGGCTTCGCTCGCGCTAAAACTACAAAAAATCTCTAAAAGGTAGGTTTCATACAAACTTTGATCACCTATTTTACCCCCATATGCTAAAACACGTATTTATTTAATTGTATTAAAGAGCATTATTACCAAGTTTCAAGTAATTCTGATCATAATTTTTTTTTGGGTTGTATTATAACGTGTTTTCCGTGTGGAATGAGATAATCTCCTGCGGTAAAAAGTAGTTTATGTCAATCTCCAACTATCTCCACACAAAAAATCACGCCAATCCTGTCAATCAACCTCCTAATCAATCTATTTTGACGTGAAAGAAAGACAAACAAACACACTTTCACATTTATAATATTAGTATCGATTAACATCAAAATTAAATTATATGAATCTATTGTTTTTATATTATGTATAGTTTATGTACATTTTTTAAGTTTGTGTGTAGGTTTAGAACTTAACAGAACTAATGATTTATGATACGCCCCAGGAGAAATTTTTACTAATTTTTATTAATTAATCTTGAGTACTGTCATGTGCTAATATATAAAATACTAGCAGCGGTCTACTATGTCACTCTGTAGCCCTTCAACTATCGCCACACAAAAAATCACGCCAATCAGTCAATCTGTTTTGACGTGAAAGAAGGACAAATAAACAAACAAACACACTTTCACATTTATAATATTAAGTATGGATGTGAATGTAATTAATATTTGATGAAAATCTTTGTATGTTTTTTAAGCATATTGCGTATAAAGAGAGCTTTGGTTAAAGTTAAAAAAAAATTACAAAGTTAAAATGTACTGATGTGTTTTTGCCCGTGGATCCGCTCGCTTAGTTCTTCTATGTATAATTACTCCGCTTCTATAAGTTACAGTATGATTGATGATGTTAGATAACCTATACCTTAACTGCCTCGATGGTGTAGTGGCTAGCATGTACGGATGCACACCCGGAGGTCCTGGGTTCGAGTCCCGGGTCGGGCCAAGTTTAGTTATTGAGTCTTTCTGTATAGTAAGTCTCAGTAACAGCCCGGAGTTGGGAAGTTGGCGGTGTTTCACCCCCGTGCCTCGGAGAGCACGTAAAGCCGTCGGTCCTGCGCCTTAACTCTCACCGGTCGTGTCGAGCAGTCGTCCCACCGGAGTATGAGAGTGACAGGAATAGAGAGTGCACTTGTGTCTGCGCGTACACTTGTGCACTATATCTCCTCCTCTCCTGCGCAGTTGGCTAGTCTCAATGAGATTGGTCGCTGTGGCCGGAATCGGTCAGGAGAACATCATCACCTTAATTGGTTTTATACGAATATAGTTAGATAACTTATACCTTAATTGGTTTTATACTAAAGCTGAAGAGTTTGTACGTTTGTTTGCACATTCTAACCTCTGGAACTATGGGACCGATTTTAGAAAATATTTTTACAATTTTTTAAATAACTTTTAACAAAATCAGCGTTACCGCATTCTATTAAACTTTTATATTTAAGCAAATATCTAGAATAGTAGATTATAATATAGTATATCACTTGAATATATTTTATGTATGGGATAAGATAATATTATGTTAAATATGCAATATGTATTATGTGTAAAATGTAAATATTACTTATGTTAACGACTCATAATTCTTAAGAAAATATTTTAATATACTCGTACCTAGTAGACTTTGAAGAAGTAGTAGGTTCAATCCTGTTGTATATATAGCACAAGATGTATATATCCTGGTGTTGTTGACTTAGCGCGATGTTGACATTTTTTTTATTTCGACACAAGACTATTATTATTTATTGTTACATATTACATTGAGATAAAAAATCACATTAAAAATATTTTATTTACATTATTATTATTACTATATTACAAAATCATCAAAGAACTTAATATTTAAATAACAAATGCAAAATGATAAGATAATAAATATTTAGTTTTAATTATAACAACATATAAACTTCCCTATAAAATATTATGTACATCCATATTACGTTCCACGTTGAATGATAATAAATCTACACCTTTATAATTTTCTTTATCTATGTTCGTATTATACACAGATTGTGAGAGCCCCTCTTCTAATAATTGTAACAATTTCGCATAAACTAACTTCGGTGCATCAGTCCCCCATAGAAAGTCTATGTGATTGAATTCTTTAAACGGCACGATATAATGTTCTATTGGGTTTGAGAGCTGCACATATAAACTTGTCACATCGACATCACTTGCTAACCAATCGTTTTCCGCTCCAAATAAAGCTATTGGCAAAGTTATTTTATGTAAAGGATACTCTGGGGGAGCAGTAGTTCCGTATATTTTAACATTTTCTTCAGGGCCGTAATCAAATTGCTGGAACCGTCCACCATTACGAATCTCTTGAGCGTAATGCACTAAGGTCCTAGTAGAAGCTCCAGCAGGCACATGACCTAGTATTATAGGCAGCAAGCTTCGATTAAACTGTTTTGCATCAAATCCACACAATATAAACATTGAATTTTCACATATTGCTTCCTCGTAGTGGTTAACTTCACACGCATGCTTTGACAACCACCTTAAGACAGCATTTTGGGGTAAAAATTCATTAACGCCAAGAAGTTTTAGTATATATTCTAAATTGTTACTAAATTTTGCAAGAAGTCGAATAGGGCTTTTAATATCGCTCATAAAGGCTACAGGCGCTAGAGCAAAGCCTGCTCTTAAAACTTTGTTATATTGAGTTTTCGTGGAAAGTAAAGCGAACAAAATTGTCGTGCCCATTGAATGTCCAATATAGTTGATTTTAACATCCCATCCTTTTGTTTCCATTATATAGTCAATAACTGCTGGTAGGTCATACTGGCTTACTTCATGGAAGGTGAAATTCCAAAATTTGAAGGTGTCTGGGTTAATAGTTACATGCGCTCTGGAATACGTATTCCCTCGAACGTTTGCCAACCACACGTCGTAACCAGCATTTGATAATATATATGCAAGACCTTTTTCTGTACCTGACATGACCCAATCAGCTGAACTGCCGAGAATACCATGATGCAAAAGTACCGTTTTTCGAGGAATAGTACGGCTTTTACTGATCCGTGAATACGGTATCCTGTGAACTGTGAGAATGTAACCGTCTTCTGTCACGATAGTGTGTGATTCAGAAACGTATCCGTGTAACGCTATCAATTGAGGAGTTGTCATTTGGATACTAGGGTCCTTATCATTACACGCGAATTCCAGTACATCGGGAGCGATAACATCAAATATATTTTGTCCGTTAGCCTGTGCACTATCAACGTATCCTTCGAACTTCCTTCTCATCCTTACTTGACGATCTTCTAGCACTTGTTCAGGTTCTGGTTTATTTCTCATGCCGAAATAAGAGGTTATCTTATTACGCACATTATCGACGTAAAATTGTTTAAGACGAGCTCCTTTTGAGCGCACGTAATTGGTAATACGAGCCGTTCTATTTGTGAATGTATCAACAAGACTGTTTGGTAGCCAGTCAGTATACCGGCCCTCACTGTATTGTATTAGAACAATTAAAGTAAACATTATGAGTATTCGCTTCATATTTAAAAAAGAACTGTACGCGTCGACTGATATCCATGCAACTAAAGTCGTTAATGGAGAACTGAACTATATTATCTCGAGATGACGGGTCATCATTAAACTATGTAAACAATCAACGACACGTTTGGCTCAGTTTGTAGTGATCCTACTTGCTGTGCCAGCGGTCGCGGGCGCGAGTTCCGTTGGGGGCATTCATTTGCGTGATGAGCACGAATGTTTGTACTCCAGTCATGGATATTTATAATACGTATGAATTTAAAAGTTGTATATGTGTAGTTTATCAACTATCTGGTATCCATAACACAAGCCTCGTAGCTTACTATGGAACAAGATGGAGCTGTGTGTTAATGTCCCAACTAATTTATTTACTTAATTTTTTAATCTTAATACTACAGTTTAACGTAGATTTTAACAGCTATTAAATATTAATAAATTATGTTTTCATATTATAATAGTTGTAAGAAATGATTTTTTTTTTTAAATTAAAACGTATTTTTGTTTGTGTAATACTTTTAAATGGAGTTGTAAAAAAGAAATATTTATAAAATTAAAGCGTTTAAATATAACTGTACAGCTTAATGGCTAAATCATTTATGTGTATTTGATATTCGGCCTAAAAATGGATAAAAAGGACTTAAAATACAGATGGAGATAAGCAATTTTTATCTCGGGAAAAGAATGGATTCTAGAATTGAAATAATTTTTTTGTTGGACGAGAGAGATAATATAAGGTGCTCTTAATACAGTTCAATGATGCAAAACTAGTTCTAAGAATTTTGAAAATACTGATATATTTTTCACTTATTTTTTATATTTTACAGATATCATTTTTTTTAGAAGAACAACTAACTTTATGATTAAATAAATTAGGTCACGATTAATCATTTTATTCTTATTGTCTCCATATTTTTGTCTTTTTGCTTAAATGCACAATGCTCGAGAAGGACCAATTTGAAAGGTTTTTTTTAAATTATAACAACATTTAATTTCGATTTCATTCATATACATAAAATAGCATTAATCCTTTTATGTTTATTAGGCGGAAAGTATTTAATTCTAAAGCTGCTAAAAATTGGTGTTCTGAGATCCTCGTTAATCGGAGAGCACGGTAAGCTTCGACATTAGATCCCTGATCAAGATATAGAAAATTAATTTGTGTATAAACTATGTATATTGTATGTGTATATACTTATGAACTGTATCTTCCGAGATCTTGGCGAGATTGGACGTAACCGAAATCGATTCGGAGGACATTATAAATAGCAGTGGGCAAATAAAATAGAAATATACAAAATTGTAAAACTATGAGCAGAAACCGATGTATATATATATATTATATATATATATATATATATATATATATATATATATATATATATATATATATATATCATTTTATATTAGTAATATTTGTTACATAAAATGTAGTGAGTCATAAATGAACATTGAACTTCTGCTGAGGCTATAATAATAAACCTTAACGTGTTTCAATTATGATAAGCAAATATGATAGCAATATGATAAGCAATATGACTAATTGCCACTAATAAAACAGTAACGAGCAGCAGCAGCCCTCGGGCTCGATTACTTTTTAGAAATATGTAAATGAGATAGATAAAAATTTTGTGTGTTCAAAGAGACTGATTCCAGCCTAGGAAGGTTAGAATTGTTTTTTGTTAGTTTTAAAAAATCTTGAAATGGGGCTAGAATCTTAGAAATTTACTTTTACCATGAACTACTTACTACGAGCATATGCCTGTAAATTACATGGAATACGGGCGTTACCTTGTATTAAATTTTATTTGTTAAGGAGCCTTTTAACCATTGCCTTTGGTTAGTCACTGGCTGGCTATTTAAGTATTAATTTTATAAATAGTATGCTACATGTATACTAATATTATAAAGAGGTAAAGTTTGTGAGTTTGTGACGTTGTAGGGCCATGACGCCCCGACGATAGGCCTGCCGAAGCAGAATCCACTCTGCTATCAGAAAAGTACCAGGAGCAGCCCGCACGGTACACCGTCCACCGAAGTGGGCCACCTCCCAGTGCGTTTCTTGGCTTCGCGCCCGGCTGGCTAACTGGGTGACACCATCACCACCACGACAAAGTGAACGCACCTTCAGGGAGATTTATTGTAACCTTAGTCAAGTACTCAATAGAAAGTACCTCTATACAAAATTGTATAAAGCTATGATGTGTAATAGAATGACATATTATGCTTCTTATTTTTTGGACATGCCTTTTCGTGGGATACTAGTCTGAAGAAAAATAACCAAAAGGCGTTGTTTGGGACTGCACCTACTCTAAGTCGATATTATGGTTTTAGAAATCATAGTATTAAGTTAAGTTGTATACGTTTACTAATACTATAATATCTATAAAAATATACTCTATATAGTGTTATAAAAGTGAAAGTGTGTTTATTTGTTTGTTTGTTTGTTTGTTTGTTTGTTTGTTTGTTTGTTTGTTTGTCTTTCTTTCACGTCGAAACAGAGTGACGGATTAATATAATTTTTTGTGTGAAGATAGTTGTATGGCTGGATAGTGATATAGGCTACTCTGTATCGCGGGAGATAATCTCATTCCCACGGGAAAACACATTATAATACAACTCAAAAATTATTTATGATTAAAATTAATTACTTGAAACTTGGTATTAATGCTCTTCAATAAAATTAAATAAATACGTGTTTTAGCATTTTTCGAAACTAAACTTAACTCATGCAAACTTTCATACCTTATTTTACGCTCTTATGGGAAGGGGGTAAAATAGGGTATGAAAGTTTGTATGATACCTACTTTATTAGTTTTTTTTGTAATTTTAGCGCGAGCGAAGCCGCGGGTTCTTCTAGTACTCTATATATTATATCAAAACAATTCATGTAAACGCAAACAAATCAATAGACATCTTCATGTTACCTGAATTGATTAATTACTATTTAAAATACAATTTGTACTTTGTAGCTTTTTAACAAAGGAAGTAGGAACTAGGAAGTAGGAACTACAGTTATTTACATATAAGTTATAACTAAATACTAATGTTCATTGTTCTATAAGTTTGTATGATTTTAGGTATTTCTTAAGTCTCTCATCCAACGAGACTTCCAAAAATAGATAGCGGCAAAAACCGCGGGCAATTACTAGATTAAGAGGGTCTATCCGTACATTGAATACGAAAGATATAGGAATTTACTGACTCTCTTATCCCTCCAATCTGAACCAAACCCTAGCGCGTTTTAAAAACGTACAACGCCATCTGGTTTCCCTGCTGAAATGTTCTGAAGGCTTTATTATTTGTAAGATGTGTGTAAGCTTTGTATTTTAAAAATGTGCTGAGTATTATGCAAATGATTTATTTTTAGATAATATATAGCACTTTAAAATATATGCAAAAAATATCTTATTTTATGAACTTGAACTATGATCCCAAGAAAGTAAAATATACAGCGTGTATACCAAGAAATGTATCGTATAAAATATATAAGCGTGTATTTATTTTATGTTTTAATACAATCTAGCTTTTTGCGTCAGAGATACTAATCTCAAACTAAAACAAACAGTCATAGAGCTAAATACGTAAACTAAATGAATATATTACGTATATTGATTATTTGGCAATTATAAATAATTAGCTATAATTTTCGCTATTTTTTATATTTCCCATATAAACTAAATATATCTACTAAGAAATTATTTCCAATCGTGACCAACGTCATGTTAAATTAAAAATAATACGAGTATCCAGTTCTACGAGCTACGTTATGTCGTAGATAGCCCGTAGCTGATATGACTATACGGTCCAAAATAGGCAGTTTTTTTACCCGACTGCAAAGGAAGGGTTATGTTTTTCGTTTTTGTATGTATGTTTGGTAAATTTCTTATTACCTCGTATCTTCCAAACGGCTGGATGGATCGCTACGGTTAAGTTATCGTTAGATTCGTCTCAAAAACCCAAATGTCCTTAGATAGGTGTTTAAAAAATGAATATGGCGGATAATAAGCCCCAATTTGTTTTTCGATTTTTTTATATAAAAGCTATTTGCAGTCGGAGACTGCATAATACTAGTGTAGTATATTATATGATCTGTGATAAAACTGTGCCCCTTCCCCTGTTGAAAAACACCAATAGAATCCCATCAAAAGCGACAAAAGCCATATAAAAACCAATACATATTTATTGATTTCTATGTGGCTTTTGTCGCTTTTGATAGGATTCTATTGGAGTTTTTAAATAGGGTCATCAACTTGTTCTTATCATTATTGTATATTTTTAGTTCGCTTATGACGCAGTCGGGTTTTTTACTTTTGTAAATATTTTTTTATTATGTTAAATATTTACCTTTTTTAGTACAAAGGTATTAAAGTTAATTTTATTGGTAATGGTGGATTTTTGCTATTAAAATTATGTGGGACTATCATTGATCTGATATCTTTAGAAAAAAAAGTGGGTCTAAAATTGGTAAACATATATCGCGTAATACATACAAAAAATATGTAACCGAATCATAAAGGACAAATTTTATCTGTATTATAGTTTTAAATGCCTATCTGTAATGATGATTAATGATTAATTATTTTTATTAGAGTTATTTTGTATTTCACATATGGGTCTAAACTTTAGGTAGGTAGTCAAAAATCCTTTTTTTTTAATATAAAATTTAAAAGAACTCAACTATATCTAAAAAGATATAAAAGTGAAAAGTATGTGTATGTATAAATGAATTGTCCTCGTTACCGACTTCGACCACGCCGGCCGATCTCACTGAGACTAGCCAACTGCGCAGGATATATCACAGTGCACAAGTGTACGTGAATTCTCTATTCCTATAACTTTCATACACTCGTGGTACGATAATTATATATTCGACCAGAGAGAGTCGAAGCCAGAGGATGTTCACGCCAGAACGGCAGAACGGATCTGGATGAAATTTGGCACAGAGATAGATTAATAGTTTGGAATAACACATAGGCTACTTTTTATCAGGGAAAAATATACGGTTCCCGAGGGATAGATTTGTTTTTGTTTTAAACAAATAATAAAGAAGCAAACAAACAACAGTCTTATTTAGTAGTTATACGTAATTAGTTTATTACTAACAATATTATCCATATTATTCTGTACATATTGTACTCATTGTGTAGTTTCACAAAGTTATATCAGTCAGCAGAAAGGTTTATCATACAATAAATTATTTCATAGAAGAAATCCCACATGATTTGATTTAGTTCAGGCTATCTCGATGGAATCTACTGAATTGAAATATAAAATTTTATTTACAAAAATTATATAAAATTTCTGCTAAGTGTAGTCTGCCAATTTGTCTCAGAACTAACTTCTTTTATTTCTGAATTATAATAAATTAATAAAACTGTAGGAATATTTATTTATTTAAAATAAATTACATTGCACAGTTTGTCATTATTATTTTATTTCTCTATAATTTTTTTACAATAACTATAATAAATTATAAGATTCAATACGAATTTCATATGATCTATATTTTAGAAAAATAACTATAAGGTACATTTATTTCATTATTTATACTTAAACTATTATTTATTTAGTAAATTAATTTCACTTCTTCGCACAACTGATCGAAATCATCAATACGCCACTTCCTTAGTTCTTTTTCGATGTCTTCTTTTTTAAGATTTTCAAAGTCCTCACAATCTGAAAATGTATTTGTGGATTATCTAACTTATATAACAGTGTAACACAATAACCTTTAAATATAAATTAATTGAAGCCATTTCAATGAGCCTGAACACGATATCTCTGCAGTATTTTAGTCAGGAGTTGAGTATCTTGCAGATTCCAGGTGATGCTGCAGCATCAGGCCAAGGTTACCATATCATTGCACGTGATTAATGAAGTATGGGATGTTAGAAATGATTAGATCTGTGGAAGTCGTTTATATCCTTTTACTGTTTAGGAAAGACCTGATAGCGCGCAAACTATTCGACGGATTTCTTGATTTATAGCTAAGAACACTTGATCACATCACCTTTCGAACAAAGAAAAAAAAATTAAAATCGGTTCATCAGTTTGGGCGATGCGATGCCACAGACAGATACACACGTAAAACATATAGGTCCCCTATTCTTGCGTCGGGGGTTAAAAAGAGACTATAGGTCATTATAAGAGGACTGTATGCATTATTAGAGTATATGCTAATATTATAAAGGTGTATATTGCGAGTGTGTACAAAAACATCTTAGATGAGATAGATACTTTTATGTTTATTGTATAAAATACTTTTCTCAGGAGCAAAAGTACTGATAGTGCTAAGTATATTAATATGAGAAAATAACTGATATAAAGAGATTGTAATGCTTGATTGAGCATGCTAGGGTTAGAACTCAGTTCAGGAGTAAAGATATCAGGCGCAAGACAAAACTAACGCACATCCTGTCACGTATCGACCAACTTAAATGTAGATGTACTGGAGATATGCTCCATTGTCAATATGAAAAATTGAGTAAACTTACACAGTCTGGTACCCAAAGAATGGCCTTAGGGGCCTAGATCACAAAGAGATGGGAGAATAAATTGAAAATGGTTTTGGTTAAGAGTGGCAGCAGATCGAAAGCAATGGAAGGCATTGGAGGCCTATGCTGTAAGGCGTACTAAGCGAAAACACATATTGTAAATATAGTTAAGTAATGTTTAAGTCATAAAATGTAGAAAGTTCGAAAATTAAGGCTCTATTATTATTATAATGCTATGCTGTGATACTCTTTAGTTATTTTTCAAAGTACATATATTCATTCACTTCTAATAAGTTTTCATAGATAAAGTTTTTTTTTTACTTTTTCTAACTAGAGTATATACTCTATTCATCCCAAAAAAAAAAGTTCATAGCTAAAAAATATATTATAGGAAAAAATATTTTATAAAAAATACATACTATACACTGGAAACCATCCACTCAGTTCACAAACAGCCACATTAAAAGCTGCCAATTGTTTTGCTCCGGCACTACTTTTCCTCGGCCAAACCAATAATCTTATTGCTCCTTTACCATCCTCCATTGACGAGCCTCGTGTTATGAATACATTGTGAGCTATTGATTTCTTTAGGAGAAATTTTATTAATTTAAATATTTCATCTATTTTATATGAGGATGTTATTTCAAAACAAAATCCTGGTACTGGATAATCAACAAAACTGTACAACGGACCTTTAATATGTTTGCATTTCTGTAACGAAAAATATGATTACGTGAATTTCTTATTGTATCACAGTTTATATAATTATAACGCTTTTCTAGTTGACTCTCATCCCATAAAAAGAATATAAACAACCTTAACAATTGGGCTTTGGTTATTTTAGTTTTATATTTAGACGATAGATGGCGTTGTTTTGAAAACTTGACGAATTATTTCATTTTTCAATTATTGTAACAATGTACTAAAATAAGTGTTATATTTCCAAATTCATTTTGCACATATATTAAATAAATTTTAGTCACTAAACATTTTAAGCAGTGGTAAACAATTACCACACATAAATATAACAAATACCATTTTTATTCCTTTTTAATGTCCCATTGTTGCTTTATCCTTCGAAAACTTGCTAGTTTTCTCGAACATGCAGGTATCACGATGTTTTTTTTTAACATAACTCGTGTGAGAATTGGGATTTGAACCTGCTTTACTTGTATTTTTCATATGTTACCACTGTTTTGATAGTGAATTAACGCCATCTATTGACATTATTATACTGTTTTTTACTGATAAGACCATCACGCCGCAGCTACATTTATAGACGCGTGTTCTGCGCTAATAAACTTAAAATGACATATGTTTCATTAACTCGCTGACGACGCATGAACATACGCTGTCTGATCTTCACACTAATTTTAAGGTCATTGTATGCATAAACCCTGAGATTAACACTTTCTTCACAATATTTTAGTCCTCATGCTACAACAGATTTTTTAATACTTACTAAATTTTCTATAGGAAGATTATTTTTCTCTAGAAAAAGGTGGAAATGCAAATGATTTACAGATGCCAATGCACACAAGCTATTGAATCCAATTCTTAAGTTACTGAAAAACATAAAATTGTACATTATTATTTTTATTATATCAAATAAAGGAATTATGATCAATATGCATGCATATCATCTTTTTACAATTTTTTGCATTCAATTTTATATTATTTACTATTTTACTAATACTATAAATGTGAAAGTTTAGATGGATGTTTGTTACTCAATAACACCAGATTGGCTGAACGGATTTGGATGAAATTTGGCACAGAGATAGATTATAGTCTGAAATAGCACATAGGTTTTATCCCCGAAAAATATAAACTCCCCGTGGGATAGATTTGTTTTTCTAGAGGCGAACCTGAGTGAAGCGAAGGTGAGCTACTAGTATTATTATAAATAAACAATTGTTACTTATTGTACTCATAAAAACTATAAATATCATTTTAATTTAGAAAATTAACTTTAACAATTAAAGTTAACATACAGTATAATCAAATAAATGAATGAAATTAACACTAAAAATAAATTACAAAGCTTACTTGCAACTCACCCATCCTTTGCTAATAACATTAAATCTATGACCAACTTCAAGCTGTCCTCAGTAATAACTTGTGGCAGACATTTTTCTATTGATGGACAAAGCAAAGAATGGTATCTTGTTATAGGACTTACATTCACCAACACTACATGAGAATCCTCTGAAAATTTTAAGTTGTATGCTTAAATGCATTTTTTGAGATTTAAGATAATATAATAATCTTATTTTGTAGAATAGAAATAAATCAATACTAAAAGTAAAAAAATATTATATTTCAATAAGCATTTAAACTACCTTAAACTTATAACTATTATGGATTAAAAGTTTTCTTATTAATAAACTAACCATTTGCACTTTCTTTGAATATAAACATGATTTCATCCTTAGATACTTTTTTAAAATTAAATTTATTTTCATCAAATGGTTGTGAAATTTCTGAAATGTGTTCAGGAGTCCTACGATTTGTGCTTCTACTTGGATTTAGCTGTAAAGTCAAGAAATGATACTAATAAATGATACATTTAAAAGTAACATACATATTTATAAAAATGTTCTAAAGGTTATTGAAATAAAGAACTTAGTAGGTGATGGCATTTAAATAAAATATAATTAAATTTAGAATATAAAACTAATTGAAGATTACTTAGCTGTTTACCTGTAATAAATATTTTTCATCAAGTAATCTCTCACGTATAAAATCAATTTTATATCGAAAAATATTTGCTTGACTATGAATATTTTCCCATTTTGATTTCATAAGTTGAGAAAATTGAGATATTAAAATATCAATTTCTGAATTTGATTTGGCTTCGTAAAAACGTAACATTCTTAGTAATTTCAATATTGTTTAATTGTATGTTATATTAAATTATTTTTCTGATACCTATATTATTACATATATAAATTATATATCGCCAAAATTCCCTTCTAGGTATATATATGATTAAATTTATATTATTAATATTTATATTTTGTGACATTTGTGATTGACAATTAATTACGATAACATAGGATATCAATTAACGTAAATAATACACACAGATTAGCAAGACGGATAAACCCAGCATTCAGCAATAATGTTTTCTACTTATATTTATCTATACATATTTACAAATATTAAACTTTTCAACATATGATATTAACCAATATTCAGCGAAAATATTACGATAAAAACTTATCTATATATAAATTTAAATATTGAAAATTATATTCTAATCAATAAAAAAGAATCTGGCGCAATTAAAAAAAAAATCTAAGCAAAAAAATCAGCCGAGTGCATGTTGGAGTCGTGCATTTACTGACGGTGACGGACGACGGTAGGCTCAAAATAAACTAAAAGTAATAATTATACGAAAACAGTACGGCGAAAGTTTGTATGAGTATGGTTGTTTGGGCTGCAGTTTAGTTTTGGGGACTCGGCCCCTGGCGGAGTGGGTGGTATTTTTGGATAGAGCAGCTAATAGGGAGTCCAAATATATAAAAACTTTTTGAGGAAACAAAAGAGTCAAAAGTTATTGAGACTTAAAGTTACAACATTTCCATACATTATTTTGACATTACTACCATTTAGACACTTGGAAATGTCAAAACGTCACTTCCAATTGTCAAAATGATCTCCAGATGATTATGTCTTTATTTGTACTTTGCGTGAAATTCGAATTTTCTAGTTTTCTAGTCATTTATGGCACTCGCCGGCCGCTACCGCGGCACGCTCGCTTCGTTCGCTCGGCTCGTGCGTTGTGGTAACTGTTCTAACCTAACCTAACCAAGATATGACGAATAATATTTTTCTATTTATTTATTTATTATATTTTCTATTTATTTATTTATGAAAATAATATTTTTCTATTTATTTATTTATTAATATTACCAACAGAAATGGCAAAAATAATCAAATATAGTCTGTTGTCATTTAAGCGGTAATGTAAAACAAAGTGACAGTTTTGCTTTTGTCAAAATGTAAGATCATTTTGTTTGTGTTGTGAAATTATTAAAATATTAAATTCAATAAAGAATTAATTGTTGTGAAAATATGTATTGTACATAAAAAAGGATGCGTACTATTCGTTAAAGGTATGTTTATCTGTTGTAATCATTTATTTAGGTAAAGAAATGTATGGAAATGTGTTAGATATGTTATAACTTTAAGTCTCAATAACTTTTTACTTGTACGTTTCCTCAAAATATTTTTACTATATTTTGACTCTGTGTCACCTCCCCTATCTAAAAATACCACCTACTCCGAATGGTGGTAAAGAAATGTATGGAAATGTTGTAACTTTAAGTCTCAATAACTTTTGACTCTTTTGTTTCCTCAAAATAATTTTTATATATTTGGACTCTCTATTAGCGGCCCTATCCAAAAATACCACCCACTCCGCCAGGGGCCGAGTCCCTAAAACTAAACTGCAGCTATTTGGACTCCCTATCACGTCCCTATCCAGAAATACCACCCACTCCGCCAGGGGCCGGGTCCCCAATTCTAAACTTTTGCCGGTGTTTGTTACAGTCTACATTACAACGGCTGCGGGGATTTGCTTAAAAGTTAGTACCTAACAACCTACACGGTACTACGATTCTGGACTCGGAGTAACAAATAGGCACTTTAATGGAACCTAGTATAATAAAAAAAAATGATGAGCAAAAATAGAACCATAAATAAAAGAACTCATTTCTAGTATGATGATCCTTTTAAGTTTTTATTACCTACTGACCCTAGAGGGTTATGTTTTTTCAAGTATGTGTATTGTGTATACAAGTACTTATGAATATGTATATTTCTTTGGTACGCTCTGTAGGTCTGTCACGCAACTAATATAATACAAAATATGTATGTCTGCAATAGCATAATACTATGTTCCTTCGTCAACTTGTTTTCATCTTTTTATAGTTCGCTTTTTAAGCAGTCGGGATTTTTTATTTTCGTAAATGTTTTTTTTATTAACCGTAGTAAGTAACCTCACTGTGTACGTGCTACGACTCGACCTCGCATTTAGAAAGGAAGTATATTATGTTTTATTTTATATTATAATATAAAAAAATAAAACTATGGTCTTTTAAAAATAATTATTTATTTTACATATTTTCAGTCTTCATTTTATTGGGGTTATAAGGATTTCTTTCATCATAGAGACAAAGTATTTCAATAATTTTTCCTGATATTTTTGCAGCTTCAAATGAATTCAGTTGACTTAATTTTTTAGTAACAGCTTTTCCTACTTTTCCATACTTTGTATTTTCTAAGCTAAATGCATCATTTTGAACACCTTTAAATACTGTTAGTAAGTTGTCAGCTACATTTTTGCATGTAATTGAACCACTAGAAGAATTATTTTCAGAATACTGGTCTTGTTCAGTTTCGTAGTATTTTTCTTTGGATAAACTTAGGTCATCCTGGAAAAAAATTGGTTCAAAAAATTAAATAAAGTCACTCTGGCCTATGTCAAACAATGGTCTGAAGCGGCTGATAATGATAAATGTAAATTTAACTTTACAGGAAGTATATTTTTAATACCAATACTTATATTAATAATGATATGTATTATTTGTTATTTATTTTAAGTATAAAATAAAGTTGCTAATCATGTCTGTTTGTAATGACCTATAGATGTAAGTCACTAGTTTTTTATAAATTTAAATTATTACTCATACCTCTTCCTCTTCCTCATCAATATCTAGAATATTTGGATTATTTTTTACTGCTCTATTAACTTTCTGAAGAAACTGGCAAGCATCCCATAAATGCCAATTTACTTGATATTCCTAAAATTTGGATATTTGGCAAGTATTATTAAAGACTGGAAAAGGAATATACTATTTTTTTTTTAATTTTTGCTAAAATGCAAAATGTGTTTATCAAAAATAATAGTAAACTAAAATTTAGGTAGGTATCTAGTCAAAATTCAGAACTTAATTTATAGACAGATCAAGGAGTTACAATTATTTATCATACAATTATATTACCTTTTATAAATGTACCTATAAACTTACCTCATCAATATTTTTTGATTTACTAGCTTTGACTTTTCTTAAATAATTTGAAAATGTAGATCTAATGTTAGTCCATCTGTCTTTGACTGCTTGACCTGTAAATTCATTGCCATACTTGGCAGCGAATTCTGCATAAGTTCTATCTCTATATTCGACCGAAGTATACTTTGGATGTTTAGGATTCCAAATATTTGGTTTGCTTTGGATGTATTTTACTAATCTTAAATTCATCTTTCTCGTCCAGAACACTTTTTCTTTTGCAAATTCCGATATCATTTTGCTTGTAAAATTCAACGTTAAATACGATTATATAACATATTAGATGCTCTATTTAAAATACTCTGCTACTTTTATTTATAGAGAACCATCTTGAGAAAATCTATTCAAATATTTTTTTATGGCTTATAAATGTGCTAGTTGAGAACAAAAACATCATTGTCAATCGTAAATCAGAAATCTAAAAATTGTTTACAAACAAAACTGAAACTTTTGACATTAAAAGATGCCAAAATCCAAATGTCAATAAAATTAAATTGACAGTAGCAACAGATGAAATAAATGAGTACTTAATCAGTTAGCAAAGGGTCCAATGTTTCTTGAAACGAGGCGCTACACGTATGATCTATTTACAATCTGGTTAACCAGTTTATTATGATATCTCTTTTGTACCTAATTTTTACTTCTATTGTGTCCGCAACTTACTTGTGCAATGTATTGTGTGAATGTTAGACCAGCTCAAGGAAGGATTAAGAAGGAGAAGTGCATCCTGTGGTGGTTCCTGACTGATGGATCAGCATAAGCCGTTGGTAAGCCGTTGGTAGTAGAAATGTCGTGAAATTTGGAGGACGTATTCCTTATATGATATCGACATCCGATAACAAAAGATTTTTCGAATTTCACCCCCTAAGTAGGTAAAAAAGAAAACAGAAAGTGGTCTTAGCTGTAAGATAAAAAATAAGAAATATTTTTATTTATTTATTTTCGAAATTCATCCCTTAAAGGGCTAATAAAGTTAATATGGCTCTTCAATACAATTAAATAAATACGAGTTTTAGCATTTTTCGAAATTCAAATTTCCTATAAGGGTGTATAATGGGGGATAATGAACGTTTGTATGGAACTCTGTAATGATTTTGTAAAAAAGTTCAAAAAAATATTCACTTATAGTTTGATTTTTAATTCCACGGAAATATGACAGCTATCATTCTTTGACAATTCAGATATCATAAACCTTTTCTGCTTAGTATTTTTTTAATATAAAATAACCAAAAATATGAAACAATTAGATTAAGTAAACTATATGTATGACATTGTAAATAGCCTTTGTTTTGTGCATTCAATGCACACTAACTATAATGTAATTTTTTTTAATGGTTAAATGAAAAAAAAACAGTGTAAAACAAAATATAAGAAATGAAAATATGTACTAATCATTATTACTTATATCATCCTTGTCGTCATCATCCACTCGGATTATAAAAGAATCACACACAGTATTCATCAGATCATTAAGAGGGCAGATTTTATCCTTTTCTTTTATAATATGGTTTATGCATTCTTGCCAAAAACAATAATAATAAATCGTGAATGATCGTTGTGGACCTGTTTTTTTGTGACTTTCCAATTCTTTTTGCCAATTGCAAAGATTTTACAAACAAAGGGGTTTTCCTAAAAAAAAGCTTGCAACCTATGTATTATTGAACAGGGATTCCTGTAATAGAAAAATAATTTCCTTAATAATTATTCTAACTTCGATAATACGATAATAAAAAAATGATTACCATTTTAGAGTTATCAATAATTTTTTAAGTCTTAGTTTTTCTAATTGAAACCTTAAATTCAAGAAAGGTATATTTTTTATTTTGCTAAAATGCTTTCCGTTTGTAGTAACAATTTTTCAAAGCTAACAACATTTCTGAAATGTCAGAATTCCGCTGAATTAGAAATCAGACTATATAACCCCTCAATTGTCGCTGTCATTTTGCAAGAATATAGCGCATCTGTTAGCTACTTTACGAGGGGCTCGCGCGAAATATGTACGCATCATTAAAATAAAATATTTATTATTTTTTTATATATTAGCTATATATAAAGCTTTATATATATATATATATATATTGCAGTTTTTGTATTTTTTCTCAGAAATGAGATATTTTTCCGTGGTAAAAAGTACCCTATATGTTGACCCGGATAGCCGGCTATCATCATACCAAATTTCATCAAAATCTGTCCAGTGGTTTTCTCGTGATGCGGTAACAGACAGACAGACAGACAGACAAAAATTCGAAAAACTATAGATTCGGACTCTGTATCAATAATAATGTCTATTTCAATAAAATTTTCCAAAAAATATTTAATGTACAGATTCGACTTAGTTACAATTTTATTATATGTATAGATGAACGAATTTAGTTTACGAGAATTAAACAATAAGCCAAACACTTGGAAATAAGTGCTAAAAATGTCATCTCAAACTTGGGATCGCAGAGCAAATTCTGTTTAAATTTTCATTAGAACATATTTACATTTTACAATTTAGTGATATTTAAAAATGGAAAAATATAATAAAAAGACATGTTGCCTTATTAGAATATTTCAGAAATCAATTCCGAAAACTAACAATTTCACTATAAGAATTACAAGAGACAGCTAAAAAAGTATGGATACGACCAATAGGCTATTTGACTGGTTTTTAAAAACCTTTTTAAATTATTTGCTGGTGTTTACTGAGCCTACAAAAAGTGTTTATTTTTAATACTTATCAGTATTTTATCTAAAATAAAAATAGCATTTAAAAAAGTACAATTCAAATAGGCCGTTGAAATACTTTTTTTCGCAACATGGCGTCAGTGACGTCACAAGGAGTTATAAACAATCAACCGACACAACCCAAGTTGAGCCAGCGTTCATTTTTGTTAATCCCTCCACGACCGCAGACACGCCCGCGCCGATGTGTCAGTTAACAATAGATTTCTTAGAATTTTAATTAATTTCTCAGAAATTTATCTGGAGGTGAGCATTATATCCAATAAAGAAAATGTATAAATGCACAAATACTACTATAAAGACACCAGAAAAATGATGATGAAATGGCAATATACATACCTTAACATAATTAACACATCTAAAACTATGTAAATGAACAATCATTTTAATGAGAACATTTTTGCTTGTTGACTTTCTAACAATTTACTTTTATTAAGAACAATTATTATAAAGTATATTATATTTAGTGCTTTCTATTAATAAATAAATATTTATCATTTTAAAATAAAATGTAAAAGTTTAAACAATTACAATTATGTTTCAAGAGCTTAGTACTTACAAGGTTTTCTCAATTTTCAAATTTCGCTGAAATTATGCGGATGTGCGAGAATATTGAATGAGTACAGTGACTGGCATACACACAGAAACAAAATCTCCAACAAAAGTAATTTTCAAGCGACCTCATAAAGGGGTTCTTATTTCAGCTGTAATTTTTTATTTTTGTTACCTCAGAATGCCGTAATTTATTAACCGATTCGGACAATTTTTGTTTTGGTTGAAAGTGTATACTTCCAATTTGGTCCCATTTGTATTTGAAAAAAAAATACCATCCCTAAGGGTGGAAAAATAGCTAATGAAAATTTTACCTACTTCTGGTTGTCATATTGACTTGAAACTTTCCAAGCGTTTCTATTTCCATTGATAGGGCAGTGGTTCGGTATCGTCGACATGATCTGATGGTAAGTCCAGAATGTGGATAGGTTAGGTCTTCAACGGCTAATAGTAGATACTTTGAGTTTGGGCTTATTTTGTTTGATTTGACAAGCCTAATAGATTAGAATCGGATTTTAGAGCCAGAATTTTTATTGTTACTAATAAAAGCGAATTTTAGTTTGTCAGTCTTCATATAAAAAATAACATCAAACTAACTTAAACGGCTTAAGCGATAATTTTATTAAAATACTTTCTTCTTAATTGGCTACTATAATGTCTACACTAAAAAGGGAAAAATAAAAACTTTTTAAAAATAAAATAAAAGCCGACTTCAAAAAAAAAAAAACTAAAGAGAAAAAAACAACTGATTGGTTGTTTCATTTACTATAAACACCTAATTAGATATTTTCGAAGTTGGTGTGCTTTGATTTGTATCGGCTGGCACCGACTTCAAAAATATTTGATTAGGTATCTATAGTAAATAAAAACCAACGATTAGTTATTTTTTTACTTTTTAGTGTTTTTTTGAAGTCCGTTTTTTCAAGTTGTTATCGTTAATTAAAAGGAGGTACCTAAATATTGTCACATTATAATACTTAAATATAATTATTTTATATGTAGGTCATACATTTTATTAGTTGGGTCATCGACCGTACATACGAAATTGGCCAAGGTCTATGTTCGCATTTAATGAATTAGCAGTTTATGTTTACAAATTCTGTAAGCGTACAGAATAAATTAACATAAAAATTTAAGAAATAAAAGGATAAAAAAAAGAATAAATAACTGGCTTATTAAAGACTATTAAAGTTATGGCAAATATTTAGATTAGAAAAATATTACCTACTTCGTTTAGTTTTATAGATTGTTTTATTAAATTCACGTATAAAAGAATTTACATTTTATAACAGTTTATTGTTACAATAAACATAAGAAATAGGCGCAAATGTGAGTGCACCTAATTGTAATTAAAAAATCCTAAGCAAAAAAAAAAGAGAACGCGTCTGCGAGATCGGCGTCCGCGAATGTACGGGCAACGGTAAATGTACGATCTCGATAAGTTTAGTCGTCGTTGCGGCCTTAACCGCCATGGGTCGCTCGCTACGTTCTCTGTCGGCATACACCCGTCCGTTCGTACCTAGACACTGTCGTCAGGCTACCACAGGATGTCCTTTCTCCAAACGACAACGTTCTCAAATTGCACCAGCAGCATCCCTTAATGAGGAAATTTTTGCCAATGCAAAACCCTATTCTGAAGTCCCTGGTCCTAGACCAATACCTATCCTAGGTAATACGTGGCGAATGGTCCCAGTTATTGGACAGTTTGATATTTCGGAATTTGCTAAAGTTACCAAGTTATTTTTGGAAAGATATGGCAGGATTGTTAAGTTGGGAGGGCTCATTGGGAGACCGGATTTATTATTCGTGTATGATGCTGATGAAATCGAAAGGATGTATAGAAGAGAAGGACCCACTCCTTTTAGGCCAGCCATGCCTTGTCTCGTGAAATATAAATCGGAAGTGCGAAAAGATTTTTTTGGCGAATTACCTGGTGTTGTCGGTGTGTAAGTATTTTTTTTTATATCTTGTATAGATCTCTAAGTAAATTATTAATTTAGATTAACTTATTGAATTATTTCTATTTCAAGCCCATTTTAAATTTTACGATAGATAATGTTGGATGTTTTCGATATTTACAATTAAAAAAAAAAGTCTTTTGAGTTCAACTTTCTCTTTGTGATTCACTTCGGTCATCTACAAGTTCCTGCATAATTTAGGCAAAACATAAAAAGCGACGTGACACGTTTTCAAATTATTTTTAAGTCTTACAAAAATGTTTTTAAAGTAGTACTGCTTATTATTGATAGTGAAAATCCCAAGTTTTTTGTTGATGACTTCTCTATCAGTGCGTAATGCATATAAAGTAAGTGCTATAATAATAGAAAAAAAATAGTTCGTGCCTGAAAAGTGTAGGTATTATATTAATATGAAATTATAATAATAAGCAAACATATTTTTATTGCGTGACAAATATTATTGAATAAACACGAGAAAGTAATACCATATTTTGTTTCTATAAATATATAGAATTTCCTAACATCAGAAATTACTTTGCCACGTGAAGTAAGTAAATATACGCTCTAGTATTCTTATTAAAAAAATCAATTTCTATATAAATACCTACTTATAATTTTGGGATATACAAAATATGTAAGAGTGCAACAGTTTCTCGCCAGGTTTTCTCAGTGGAACTGTCTTCCAAGAAGTGCTACCTGCAGTGAGTCCTCACGAAGCGTACAATATTGAATATTGTCATTGTAAAATTAACGATTATAAAGATGACCAAAAACCAAATTATTAGGTTTTATATATTAGTAGGTATACTCTTGCATTGCAGTTTTTGTATTTTTTCTCAGAAATGAGATATTTTCCCGTGGTAAAAAATATTTAATGTACACATTCGGCTTAGTTACAATTTTATAATATGTATATTTTGTCTCATCTTTGATGCATATGTTACGTTTCAATTATTTTAGGCTGGGAAGTTCTAAAATTTGCTAGTGCTGGTAGAGGTTCTAATTTCACATACATTTTCGTAGAACAATTTCGACTTTTACTTTGGCAAATGCTAGGTATTACTGGAAGCTTTATTATGTTTCAAGCATTAGTTACATTTCAAGGTGATTCAATAACAAATCCTTAAATTTAAAAAAAAAGCAAAAATAACTTCCCCTTAATATCTCTAATTTAATATATTTATTTAGTATATTATTCAAAGTTTGATACGAAAATAATATAAGTAATACATATTTGTTATCTAGGAAATATATGTAGATTGTAGGTAATTGATTTTATCTCACAAATATAAAAGAATGTCCATATTCGAAAAATAAAATCAGTAATATAAAATAAATCAACGAAATCAAAAAATAGTGAGAATAAAAATACCTAGGTATATATTTTTTTATAGGTTGGCCGAAAGTTATTTTAAAACTGGCACACTGATTTTTTCTCTCACTATCTTAGTCGTGTAATAGTGAGAGTAATAGTATATAAAAGGTATTTTTACATACAACCTTGTTAGTATTTATGGTTTATTAAGATATTTTCTAGGTCATGTGTTAGATGACTTATAGTTGGTACCTAGGTGGTAAATGTATGCTTCATCACGCATGTAATATAACCCGAGGACGTAACTTAGACCTAGGCACTGAGGCATGATGCAAGGGTCTTGTAACAAGCATTAAGCGCCTCTTAAGTATGTTTGCTTGTAATTAATGATAATATACTTACATTTATGAATGAAGCTTCATAAGGCAATATTTGCAGAACTCGCGTAAGGCCTCGTATAATATTAAAATTTAGCAGCGCGATTGTACATATTTACTTTTCTATATATATGTATGTATCTATTACTAACATTTAACTATTTCTATCTATTAAATAAAATTAAATCGTAAACATTTATTAAGCTTTAGCAAACAAGATGTTATTATGATTAGATTTGACATGTTCTTTATTTTAAACTTGAAAAGTGTCAAAATGATCAATGTCATACTGCGCTACATTGGAATACTAATTATCACATTCAGTTAGCGCGTGTGACATAATGCTGAATGCTGATTTACGTATTATATTATGTATATTTGACGTGTAAATTCCCACTTGAACGTGACATTCTTATTTACTTTCTTATAATAGCTAGTATAGTATTATATGATCTGGTAATAGATTGCTTTGTCTTTGCTTATAGAAGCTTTAAATGATTTAGCAATTAAACGATATACTCACAACCGATAAAGCTAATAAAAAATCATTAGAACGAGTTTTAAAGCGAGATATACAAAGTAAAATAATTCAATTACAAAAAAAAAACGTCTGGGGAAAAAATCGACTAAAAAGATGGAGAGTATGGCACTGTATTATGCACTCGCAGACATACATGGTTTATACTTGCTGCGTTTGTTTATATTATACTAGCATTGCCCGCGGCTCCGCCCGCGTTCAGATGAACAAAAACTAAATTCTTAGGTGTTACATATTAGTATACTCTTACATTGCAGTTTTTGTATTTTTCCTCAGAAATAAGATATTTTCCCGCGGTAAAAAGTATCCTAGGATCGCGCGCTACATCGCCCGGTTTATATAGCTTGAGCAGGCGGTCGAGCGATGCGGGGCAGAGGGGATGGACTCGCCGTAGGCATCTCAATGCTCGCCAAGCATTAAAAATGTTTCGCTACTAATTACTTCTAACAACGATATCTCAAAAACTATTCATCTGATTGATTTAGTGTAAAGAGCAATTTTAATCTGCATTAAATGACTAAGCTAACTAAAATATTCATTTGGATAAGGATTAATACCGAACTAAAGAAAATAACTTTGAAAATAACGTAATGTTTTTAATTAAAAATGTTAACATAAAAGTGGTTATTGTAAGTCAACCGTAAGAGATAGAGATATAGTTTGGCTATATGTGTGTGTTTTTACACACACATGTATAATGTATATATATGTACATACATACGGGTCAAACACGCGAACCTCCTATTGGGGTCTTTCACAGTCGAATAATAATTTAAACTTTTAATGTATGAATTTATTTTTTTTTTATTTTTTAAAATCTGGATACAACACCTACAATAATTTTATACAACAGAAGTTAGAAAGTGGATTGTGAAAAAAATAACTACTAGGACCTAACCTATATAAAAAAATATGAAGTTCAATACAATGTATTTTGAGATCTTGAGATGGAAAGAAAAACAGATAAAAATGAATAAATTTTGCTATTTTAATTTATTTACTCAAAGTTTTTGGATTTATTTAATTTTAGATTCGAGCCACAAGCAACGAAGTGAAGTAGCAAAACCGGTGTGGGTTGGTTACAATGTCTGAGATTGAGAACAAACGCATTTTTGCAAGTTTTCTCTTAATCCGTAAAAGTTAAATTAAATTTCTTAATGTCAATGAAAAATTGCAGTCACAAATTATTTATATTAGGGTTTTTTATATTTACATCGAATATTTTTAATTATTTTATATTACATATAATAGATATTATATATAGATTATATTATATATAGTGGAGATATAGATACATACAATACACATATAACTAACGATGTTAAGTATTGTACTGTTAAAGCTGTAGTTTACTCCAGCATTTGATACTTCATTTATGAAATACTCAAATTTATTTGACTGCCTTAGGATAAGGTTTGTTGTTCTAACAACCATCTTAACCAACTGTCGTATAAATAATTTGCGTATATATTATTTTATTATTTATTCTATAAATAAATTAGTATTGTAACTAATTTTAAACATCTAAATTCTAAAGTAAAAGGTAACATCGCTACTCGGGAATCAGAGCGAGGCGAAAGCGTCTGTACTATGTATACTCGTATAATGACGTGACGAGCGTACAGAGATGTGTTGATGGTTACCAGTTATTTTTTATTTTAAATGGTGATTTATATGAAAATGTGCAATTTTTTTTATGTACACAAACAGAAAACAAATTAAAAAATTATAACTACGTATTTGAAGCTACAATATCATTTTGTTGTCCGATTATATTTGTACACAACGTTCAAATAAAATTGGTTTATTATATACATGTTTTCCACGAGCATTATGAATTCAAATTTCCAAGTTAAATTTGAATACTACTCTTACATCAAAAAATCAAACTTATTTTATAAAATAAGAATCTATAAAGAGAGGTCATTATAAGCAGGTTTTATGTACCTCTATATACGTATAACATAAAGATTATAGAGATCTACAGACATCTATAGACAGAACAGTCATAAAAATCTGAATGCTGAATAAAGTACTTTATCTTTTAAGTTATAGTTGTGCTAAAGTAAAGAGTATATGAAAGAGTCACTTAGTAGAATTTAAAAAAACTGTCATTGTTTATATTTAGCACGTCTACTTGAGAAACTTGTTTTTGTGAAAAGGAAATACTTTGTGAACATTTATGTTTACGCTTACATGTTGTTTGCTTTCTTAAAAACGTTTCGTTTACCTGTACTTTATTATCCTCCATTTTACTATTTCAAGGGTTATTTATTTATATATTTAACTAGTAGTACCCGCGGCTTCGCCCGCGTCCAAACTTCCGATCGCTAAAAAAACGGATCACCGGCTGGGCTAATCTGAATATTACCATAAAATTTCATCAAAATCGCTTCCAGCTGTTTTGGAGTCCATAGGAAACATACATACACACATCGATTTTTATTTAATTTAATCAACAATTTAAATTTATTTATTGCTCGGAAAATGGAGCCTTTTATGAAAATTTAGTAACACACCGACTATGGACTATATGGCTATGGATTTGTGAATTCAAACCTTGCAGGGATCAGATATTTTCGAAGTCGGTGCCAACCGATACAAATCAAAACACACCGACTTTGAACATATCTTTTTAGGTATCTATTCTAAAAGAAAACCCCCGTTTAGTTATTTTTTTACTTTTTAGTGTCTGGAACTCGGTAATTTTTTTTTATTAAATTCCACTGTAAAGTTTATTCAGAGAGAATAATTTTAA